AAATTTTTAAACGATTAAGCGACCTATAACTTTTGACCGACAGTGTAATTACTTCTTCTCATGTTTAGTGGGGAAATATTGCGGAGGATGATTAATTATAAATATGAAATAGGGTGATTTTGATCGCTTATTACAAATAAGGGTGATCAGCTTCTGAAACTATACAGGTCTGGAAGGGTATTTGATCTTTCCAAGTGATTCTCGGGAACTGATGATTAACGAAATGATTAATGAAGTAGCAGAATATTAATCTCTTCTGAAAAACTTAAAGAAACACAAATGACATACGTTTTGAATGAATTTTTTCCCAATGTTTGTATTTCGCTGTCCGAATGGTGTTGAAGCTTTAATCTCGGTGGTAGAATTTAACGAGCAAAACACCTTGTACAACATTGAAAAGCAACCGACGACGCATGTTTGCTTTTCTTCGTTTGAAAGGATCGTACATTTTGGTGCTCTTTTGTAACCGCTACGCTGATGCATGTGGAAACTTCACGAAACTTTTTCTGCCGCGGCGAAAAAAAGCATCGGGAACATTTGATTTCAACACGGATTTGCGAGAACGACGTGAAATAATTACGTAAATCTCAAGCACAGGGTTTTTGACCGACTCGAGCTGTTTACTCGCGTGTATAACATGTATTTTTTATACGGTTTTTAAGCAAAAATTATTTGTTGCACGTTGAAATATGAACCAGTTTATATATTAAATATATCAATGAAGAATTTATATATACACTCGATTATTTTCAACAAATAAAGAATCGAACAGTCGACTCATTGTCAATTGACTTTTACTGATAAAAAGTGTTACAAACAAAGATTTTCCTGGAAACCGAAGTTTGTTATAGAAATTAGAAAACATCATGATTGTATTTCCGAATGGCCCCACCAAAATTGAGAACTCAGGTTCGGTAGATAACCTAAATTGACTACCAGAAACCGATTAAAATTGGTTTCAAAGCTGGATGTCTTACCGTTTTTGAGATATCGTGGTAAGAAATTTTTGTACAATTTTGGGAGCCATTCGGAAACTTATCCAACAACATTTTCGGAAAGAATTCTGGAATTGATTATTTAAATTGACAGAAACACAAGGGATGAAGGTTCTTAACGTACATATTTGTTACATTAATAATAAGAACAGCTTGCCGAACGGTAAAAATTGTATAAAACGACCCCTCCTCTTTTTTTCAGGCCAGAGGATTGAATTTTAAATGAGAGTGCATTTTATCGATCGTATATTATGCTTCAAAAAATTTTGCTTGCATAAAGTCGGTGTTAAAACGGTCATATATTTCCGCCTTTTTCGGAGCGTGCACTTGAAAAGAAAGGAAAAGATACAAGAGCATGATCTAATTTATTTATTACTTAAAATTCTGCAACATAATTTAACATCCAATTTCTTTTTTTTTCTTATTTACGTGGTAACTAGAGGAAGTCCAATTTATTTCGAACAAAATCCGTATTCACCATTTATTTATCAACATAAATAAATTTAATTATCAGAATCTACTATGTAGAGATTCAGTTGATTAATCAAGGTTTTGGTTCCCCTTCCTTTTTAAACATACAAATTTTAATATTAATTTTCAATATAATGACTGTTAATTAATATATATACCATGTTCCTATAGAAAATTAACATTATTTAATGTTTTAATTTAAATAGGATAATATTCAAAATTATTCTTATCCTTATTTTTACTATTATTTAGATATATTAATTTTATATATAAATTGATCTCTACGCGATAGGTAACTAATTAGGTCTAATCAAATTTGATAGAATTCTTCTCAACACGTACTTTACAATACTCAAAATTCACCAAAAAGCAGTTTCAAAAGATTCCAAAAATTTCAATAAAATAACGCCTCAGAAGATCAAGGGGAACCTGCTCTAAAAAACGCATTTTGTTAGAAATTGATATCTCCGTCGGTTCCGGAGATATGAGACTTCATAGCGCTCCCGTTCAATATGCTCGTAGTGTTGAATGGCGGCCGAATTCCAGGAAACTCCGTGACCTAGTTTTTTTTTCCTGGAAATGCGTACGCTGTGAGTAGTAGTAGTAAAAAAAGGCGGCTGACTCAGCGTCTGTCACTGACCAGCGCACACGTGACCAGCTTATGGTAGGTTAGCGAATGAGAGCGAGTGAGATGTCTCTGTCCGAGCGAGACAACAGAGTAAAAGATTAAGAATTAGATGTGACTTTCTTTAAGCCATCATATCTCAATAACGGAGTGTGCTATCGGAGTGAAACCAGAAGTGTTTCAAAGAGGAAGATTTACACTTTACAATGGTATAAAAGACACGACATTACAACGGCAGTTTTTTGAGTTATTTCAAATTAAATTTCCATGTTTCGAAATCATCAGTTAGATATGGTAGAATCTAATAAGTGAATGCCATTTAGAATTTTTATTTATTTTCTCCCTTTATCTTAATTATCTAATTAAATAATTCTTTATTTTAATGTGATTAATACATTGAAAAATTTACTCGTCAAACTGAGCTACTCAAAATATCTAATATTTTTATCTTTCGCTTTTGATCTTTTTTTATTTATTGATAAATTGATTATTTTAATAGTAAACAACAATAAAATTATCTTAAGAGCGCAAAGGGTTAAAGTTTCTATTATTTCAAAATCAGAAATGCATGAAACACAATCCAAATCGAATCATTGCTATCTTTTTTGTTACGTTGATTCATGAAATTTTTTTCTAATTAAAACGCTGCTTACCCCGAGGTAGTGAATATCGATAAGCGTCCCGAATCGGAGGAAGTTTAAGTTGCAAAGAGAAAGAGGATCCCCTAGTTATTCCAGCGCAGACGGCGCTTCAATTTCCTTGGAATTTGTCCGGACGGAAAGTATTCTTTGGCCGGGAATGAATACCTAAATTAGTGGGTCACAGCCAGGGGAGAATATTCGCTGTGTCAAGACGCTTTAGCGGCCGTTAGCTTGTTAATGTCCCTGACAAGCGCGAAATTAACGCCTGAATGGCGAATTATAGTGGATTTACAGCGTTGGTAAAGGACAGATGGCACTTCTGGCCAGACTGTTTGCCGACTGTCCCCGGTGAAAAGCTAGCTTTGCTCGAAAAACAGGCAAAGTGTCTTTCGCAACGAACCTGGGACGTGCGCTCTGCTCGGTTTGCTTTGCATAATCAGGTCTCGTGTATTTTTTGGAAAAACGACCATTTCAACGGGGAGTCTCCTCGTTAAGGCAATTGGCCCGGAAACGGACGCTGTGAAACGCGGTTGTCGACTATTTTAAAGCTAAAGCCTGACGCAGAAAAGCGCGCAGATTTTAGGAAGAGACAGGCAGTAATCAAGGATTTATTCATTTTCATAAAATTTCAGAAGTACAAAATCTTTGAGATCTGTAGAAAATCACTGTACAATATAATCTTGGTGATCGACTAAAGTTTAGCCAGAAGTTAATTATGTGCCCAGTATCAACGATAGAAGTGGAAGCGTTAGATCATGAAGAAACCAACGATCGACAGGGCAAGGGTACGTACTGGGCAAGGTATGCTTTTGCAAAACCATCACTTGCTGTACCGCCATCCTATAGAAAATCAATGAAAAGTTGGAGATACTTGCCATGCTAATATCTAATTACTGACAGTATAAAAAAAGTAGTACCGAAATCGCTTCTACCCGGAATCTCAATTTTTCGACTTTTTTTGCGTTTTCGATTTTTCACACCTAGGAGATTTATTACAGAAATTCAAAGATAATTGCAAAGTTCTCTTTCAAAAAAAATTGAGACAGTGCACAAGCATTCAGTTGCTTTTTATAACACAAATGTAAGATATTTACATCGTTGAAGCGAGTAAGAAATTGTTTAAAATCGACCGAGTATCTCAGGGGAAGTGGATCGACGAGCTAAAAGAAAACCGAACGATATCCTAAGGAAGCCATTTTCGTTGCTTCCATTACACAGCAATTTTATCCCTGATCGTTACTCCATAATCCTGTTTCTACGATTTGCTGGCTCCATTTCCGTCATTTCGGATCCAATCTAGGCACCATCACGTTTGCTCTCTGGCTGACTCGACTATGTACTTAGATTACCAGGATACATTTACCGCTCCCGATGGACCGTAGATTGATGCTGTCTGATCTGTTGCCACTAAATTTCTTTACCTTTTATTTCGCTGCTTTTCGTCCGAACTGAAAACATTTCAGAGATAAAATAATCGCGTTGTCACGATAAATAGACTGAATAATTTGCAATTGTTGATTTTGCTTCGGAATACGTTTGAGTATTTTGATTGTTCTAAACTCGCTAGTCATACCTAAACTTGTTGAGTTTATTAAACAACTTGAAGCAAAAAAAATAATCTATTAATTTAGTTTGATTCTGAGAACGTCTCGATCGTCACCCTTCTAATATTCTCTTTTAAATAAGCTCTCAGACTTCCAAACTGTTTATGAGAACAGATAAGGGCGTCAGACTGCCCAACGATTTGCTTACCATGCGTTCGGTATTGTTGCATTTGAGATTTATCGTTATATCTTGTTAAACATCTTTAATTATTATTTTCAATAAAGTTACACTTCGAAGCGAATAACCAACAGCAATGATATTGATGGTTCAAAGTTACGACATCTGTGACCAAAGTCTAACTACTTTTGAGCTCGACAATCGAGAGTTTGCCGAAGAATTAATTATAAACGTCCCTCGAATCGAACATCTGCGACATTTCGTCGGATATGTGGGTTTCGAGCGTGACAGCTGCCGGGAAAATTGCGAGCACAATTTGGAAATGGCGATAAAAACGATTGGGAAAGAAAACATTGATTCATGAGATTGTTCGAATCGCGAATGAACCCGATGTTGAAACGTTAATGAGATCTCAGATTACATGTTTTTCGGAGCGAATAAAATAGCGGTGGATGGTGTCGATTGTTTTTGAAATTAGGCACTTGAGAATTTTTTAAATGAAAATGGAAAAGGGGCTGAAATTAATTTTCTTAAAATCTGTTACAGACGGCGGCGTGGTGGGTGGTTCGAGAGCCGGACCAGTGGTAACACCTCACACCTTGGAGTTAACACCACGTGGCAGGGTTTTATTGCAACTTGCACCACCCGAAACAGCGAGGGCATATCTTCCACCGGAATATCGACCGGGTCGTGTATATTCCGACACTGATTCTGAAAAGGTACGTGATACTAATTAGGCACTACTTTAATGTTACGCGAAGTTAATTACTAGAGCAAGGATTTTTCATCCTTGTATGTTAATTCTTGCAATTGGATCGATTGAGAGTCGGCGAAACGTATTTTCTCGGTTAATTGGAGGTGTACGAGAATGGCGAAGTGTGAAACTTTATTCAAATATTGTACAGGAGAAAAAGGAATAAGAGGTATTGGTACACGGTCGTTCAAAAGTGTATCATAGATAGCGATTTTCTATTTAAAATAAAAATGATAATTATTCAAATGAAAATATTAAATAACAGCTCGTGAAAATAAATTCAGTAATAGCAATCGGTAGATATATTATTTTCGTAAATAGCATTTTAAAAACTGGTTTGTGTTAAATTTTCTTTTTTCTTTGTTAATATTTATTTATATTAATCTTTAATTTTTTATAAAAAGTGGATATGAATAAAATAAAGAATACATAGATTTAGAAAATATGCATATATTGTTGCAATAACTGCAAATGATTAAATATCAAACCAGTTTTATAATTTCATAATTAATCCTCATTTACCTTAAGAAAAAGCATTACTGAATGGTACGTTTAACCCATTTCTTTAGATTCTTACATTTTTCTTAAATAATTGGTATTTCGATCGAAATTAACACACCATTTTATTTCATGCGAGTCAATAATTAGAGTCGTGATATAATGATGTTTTACACAATGCAATATTTCTTCGTGCAGAATACATTACAAAGTGGGTGCAAATGGCTGCAATGCACAATTGAACGCTTAGGCGTTGAACGGCGGCCAACAAATTGGCGAACAATTTGTTTATCGACAAATTACTGGCCTCTTTTTCTACTTCCATTCATAGACCCGTGTTAAATGCGGGTAGGAAATATTTATTTCCCATTGAAAGCGTGACGTACAGGTAGCTCGATTCATTTGAAGATTGACTGGAAAACAATAAAACGGAGTACAATTAAATATGAAATCTGACGATGAGTGTCACCTGTGTGAATATTATTTTATTTACGTAACTAGTAATGAAATTAAATTACCTTTGATATAGTGTAAGTAAATATTTGGTGAAAATACCGAATAGGGGACCCCGCCCCAATGACCTTGAGATACATTGTCAAGGACATGTCCCCGAGTAACTTTTCCTAATAACTTAACCGTCGCTCACTGCTTATTAAAAAGTTATTAACAAAAAAAGTTTCAAAAGTTAAAGCTGTAATTTACAAATTTGTTACTATTATTAATTGATAAATTATCGTACAAGAAAGGCGAGAAAGTAACATTTCCAAGTGTCTTTGTTTTAAATTCTGCGGGAGTCTGTAATTAACGCCAGGCCAATTTCACGCGCAATTTATTCGCGCAATTAACGAGTCGATCGTTAAATCCTTTTTTTTTTCCTTTGGTCGCTAACGAAATACCGTCGACGCCTTTGTATTCCTTTCATCTGTCCTTCTTTCTCCTGCCACATTTTTCTTTCCATCCGATTCTGTTCCGTTATTCTTTTCCTTCCTGTCTGGCGTCGGACGGGACGCCGCGCCGTTGTTTCAGCTAGCCGGTATTTATCTCCGACAGATTAAACGGAGAACAAACGGGAGGCGCGATAAATAAACTTCGAGCATTTCGCGTCCCTGCATCGTTGCTCTGAATCGCCCTATCTTTTCACCCGGTCCGTTTCAGTCTGAATTAGTATAAAAATCAATCATCGTTAACCCTTTAAGAGCAAATTTAAATTTAAAGGAGGAGGGAACCAAGAAGGCTTTGGTTCCCCCTCCTTTTTAAACATACAAATTTTAATATTAATTTTCAATATAATAATGACTGTTAGTTATAAATATAATATAAATACCATATTCCTATAGAAAATTAACAGTACATTATGATTATTTAATTTTTTAATTTAAATAGCATAATGTTGAAAATTATTCTTGCCTATTGTTCTTTTATTTCCATGATATTCCCAGTGAGACTTGATAATTCTTCGTTTCTTATCGTTAGAAGTACTCGCCTTAAGGGTTTCAAATGTAGGGAATTATCGAGCGCTTAATGTATCAAAATATAACATTTTTCAAATAAGGAAGAGAGGAGAGTTGAATGAAATTTGATTTGCTTTCAGATGTGGATGTATTCGCTAGGAAGGGCATTATTAGACACGACCCCGAGAGTCGCAGCATTGACAGGAACGGTTTCCGTTTCACCCTCGTCTGCGCTTCAATCCGTTTTAGCAGCCATGACGGAACCCGATCCTCGAAGACGAGCTTCCTTGATGAATCTCCTAGACGTAAGTCTGTAAATCTAGTTGAAATTCTTTTTTATGTCACCGAACACGCGAGATTTTTCATGGAGATCGTTTCTCGTTGCTATCCGTGGATAGAAACGGACGTTGCAGAGGGAAGGAAGAGATAAAACATTTTCTCCATGGTGAACACTTGTGTATCTGAGATCTTCTAGGTATATACTCGTTGTTGTGGAACTTGGAGGCTGCTTTTGTTTCAGGATGAATTTAATTGGTATCAGGTTGAGATACAAATAATAAAAATAGGGGGTGGATTAAATGCACGTTAATTGCTAACAATAATGATTAATCCTTGGACGGTGGACCATGGAGAAAGCCCCAATTTTAATTTAATATTATTTTCAATTTCTTAATTTTACAATGTTCCTTTAACACTACACCAATATATCTCATTTAAAAATTATTTGATTTGCAAAGATTAAATAAAATAATGGGAATACATAGTGTAATTTTCAATTTATTAACAGTATCCATAATTTTATTTGAAAAAGAGGCCTTTTCGAACAATATAAAATTAAAATTGTAATTATACAGTATCTCAAAATTTTTAAATAATTAATGATAAACGTTGTCTGAGAATTATGCAGTTCAACCTTCATATCTTACCATTTCATTTTACTATAGTTTACTGATTCTAAATGAAACGCATCCCTTTGACATTTCCAAGAAACTCACCAGATTAATGAACATAACATCATTAATTCTTATCTCAAAATTACATCTTCTTCCGTGAAATATGTATATCGCGTTTCAAACGATCCTCGGTAATTAGATTGCTGATGTTTATATAAACACATATACTTACAATGAATTTTGAATTACAAAATCATTACCTAATTTATAAAAATTACCAAAATTTTTAGTCCCAACTTATCACATCTCTCATATTTTTACCACTTTATTTTATTCCGCTATTTCTATACACTATAGAAAAATAATGATATATTTACAATTTATTCATAATTATTCCAAAAATCCATAAAATCTCATTGAATCGCTGAAACACTTCACGTTTCTCATCTTCTCACCATTTCATTTCTGTACAATGTCAATGCACAAACGTGTCTGCAGTTTGTTCATAATTATACCAGGAATTTCTTCGATGCACGGGTTTTGCCAAGCTGAAATTAATTTCCGTGTCACGGCCAAGTGCAGCGAACGATCTTGAATCACGAACAAGGTTGGAGGAGCAGCTGCATCGGAGTTGAATCGGATGCATACGTGTGATTCGAACAACGGGAAAAGCCGTGGAACCAACGCGAATAACAATGCAATTTTCAAGCTATAAAATGCAGTCGTCCGGTGTCATTGAAAATCTTGGACCATCGGGTACCTGGATGAAATTTCTGATGTCTCTTGCATAATTTTATGCAAAACGATATCATTTTTTGGTGTACATCGAACAGAACTGATTTCGTATGCAACGAAAAATAGGGAGTACTTTTATCATCGTTCATGTTTTCGGCGTTCTATTAATTATAGCACGTTTTCCTTTTGTTTCTGAACGAACGGATGTTCTATTATGGAGGATAATTATTCTGGAAATTAAAGTGTACCATTATAGGAAATGAAATGCCATGCTGTTCTGAAGGTTCCATTATCACTGTGAATATGGTTTGTAAATTAACATTGCGGTTTTTAATGATCTCAAGTTGTTTGAGAGTTTATTGGCGCTACCTTTGCATTTGTCATCGCTTTATGTTTCTTTTATGATTTTATTAAACACATCGTGTTATTGTTCTGCATTGCTGGAAAGATCATCAAAGCTGTAATATTAATATTTTGTATTTGATATTCAATGTTTTGCAATATTATTAAGTATTCAAGTGTTACACGTGTTCCAATTTGCAGAGTGATAAACGTGACGGCGTAAAATATGTTAATTGTTGCAGTGAAAATTGCCATTCATGGTGCAATATCATAATTAGAATTATTAACACGTTGAACGATCAACAATTACCAGCTCCATGAATGTAATTAATTCTAAAAATTCAGAGAAAATAAAAATTTAAGGAAATAGGGCATAAATAACACTTTCGTTGATAAGGATGTCTATACCCACCCATAATTAAATGATTATAATAAACGTTCATGTGGTGAACATTTTTTGAATTAAATGTTACCGTAATGAAAGCATTAAGAAATAATTGCAGAAGTGAAACTTGATTAAAAGTAGAAAAGTGTGATTCCTCTTTATTCATAACTGATTTCAAGTCGCATAATCGTGGGAGATGGTGTTCCATTAAATGGTCCGCGACGCAAAGGGGCTCAGATTACGCAATTAGCACGGTCTCGTCACTACTGTCATCACGCGTTACCGATCCAAATTTAATTAATATCGGAACCGTGAAGGCCAGCACGATCCGTCGAATGGAGGTGAATATGACGAACATAACGCGATCGCAGAGAGCACTCGAGCTCTTGCGAAGGCGGACGCGGAGGCACGTTTTAATTGTATTATCTATCGCGCGAACGGCATGGAGAAGACGAGCAAATGGAGTCCGACGATTCTACCCGGTAGTTAATACCTGACCTAAACGATTATGGGAATTTTCAACGACGGATAATCTTTCATTCCTGAAAGTATGTAAATGAGATGAAAGTGTAATTAATATTTTAAATTATTAATTAATAATTAATGATATGCTAATTTCTGATTTTTGTAATTTTTTATGTTGGATTTTTGGCAACGAAAAACAAAGTAATTAAATTTTAAAATATAATTTGTATTTTTTTGAAAATTAAAATTTTCTACACTTGTATTATAATAATAATAATAATTGCAGTAAAATGGATACATTCTTTAGTTTCATTTAAAATACTATCAGTGAATCGATAATTAGTAAAATCTCGTTGGTTTTAGCATTAAAAATGAAAGGTATAATTTTATCAAGGAACCCTAGATTAACGGTACGGACGTCGTTTTCTCAGAAGCCAGCCACTTTTAATAAAGCCATTTATTCGACCGGCCGTAATTCATCGGATGCACCTGAATAGGTCGCAAAATTGATGAAATCTCGAGGCGAGGGCGGCGGTGGCACGCGAACTTATTCCACCGCCACCAATTTCTACGAGAACTCGTTGACTCGCGATAAATTATTCACTTCGACCATCGTGCAAATGAAACTGGTGGAGAGAGGCATTTTGAGATCGTGACAAAGTGTGCAGTCACTTTGAATCATCTCCTTTTTTCGCTATTGCAAACATAACTCGTGTCAAAATCATACTTCCATAAAATTTTAATACGCTTCGTGTCGTATAGGAGTGTCACATCTTCAAATTGAAATAAAACACAAATTATGTGATTTTTATATGGTTTTTTTATTTTAACACAACGTCTACTCTATGACATTAATTATTATCAAAGACAATATTATTCAAATGTCCTTGGCTTTTTTCACAAACCTGATGCGTTTGACTCAATTTTCCATTACATTTTCACATAACTGGAATTCAATTCCATCAACCATATTGCATCTGTAATACTGTTTCTCAGCTCATCAATAGTCTGGATTGTTGGCGTAAACTTCACTTGTCAAAAACCCCATAAAAAAAGTGTAATGGTGTTGAATTACCCAATCTTGTTGGCAATTAATGTCTCCTCCTTGTGAAAAACTACTCATCAGAACCTTTGAGAAGGACCTTTGAATGATATTGTCTTTCATAATTAATGTAAGAAAATAGACTTTTATTAAAATAAACAAACCATACAAAAATCAGATACTTTGCGTTTTATTACAATTCGAAGATGTGACACTCAATTTGGATAACCCTATAGAATCGCCTTAAAATTAAATTGAAGAATAAAAGATAAATGGAAATTAAGATTTCAACCCTTCGACGAAAGTCTGGCTTGCGAGAGGGTTGAAGAACCTTGCAAAAAGTATAATTTCCATCGACTCTATCGTAAATCTGGAACAAATTTGAAGTTAACACCGGGCATTGTCTTCGAAAGACAGCCACGTATCCAAGAGTTCGCTTTTGTCGACGTGGAATAGGAGTACAATGAAGCGATAATAGGTTAGACTTGCGGACCACTTCTCCGTTAATATCGTAGCTCACCGAGTGTACGGAATTCGAGTGTTGGACCCATTGTTCCCTAAAATTAATAGATTACCAGGCGGGAATAGGGACAATTTTGAAATCGAACGATCAGACGGCGAAGCGTAACGCGATAAACACTCGTGTACGATTTCATTAAGTCCGAGGGAAGGAGACTCTTGGCGACAGTATCGTTTCCACCCTAACTTCTGAATCTATTCGAGCATTTGATCGGATAGTTTCGTCCCAGTTGAGAATTTCTAACTAGTTTCCTTTCTGGAAGGGTGGCTGACTTTCAGCTGCCGATAACCAATGATAATGGGTTTTTGATCAATGCTCCTCGGTTCACGTATTCTGCATCTATCCCGAAATCTTTGATTGCCTTATAAACTAATACATTTGTTATCAGCACTCATCTCAATCCCTAATTTCCATATTTCATTCATTCTCTTTGTAGACTTTGATATATCTTGACATTTTGATGACGTCCACAGTTGAGTATTTTACTGCTCTAAGCAATAATGCCAGTTAATTTAGCAGAGGAATGGAGTGTACAATAAATAACGTTTTAAATGCTCAATTTTAGTTTAATTAATAGAATTAATAATTTAAAGAAAAACTGTGTTCAATCACTTTAATCGCATACATACGAAGTCGCTTTGTTTTAAAATTTTTTATTTTTTTTATTTAAGCTTACCTAAACTTCTGCGTGAGGTTTATACAGCTGTACATAGATTACTTAATTACTAAACAGATTTTGAATAACTTTAAGCCCTCATTTTTGAAAAATGTCGCATAATTTGTCTAATTACTAAAGGGAATTATACTTCTTGAATAGTAAAAGTTAACTTACTAAAGAACAAAATTAACAAAATTAACTTACTGAAAGAATTTACATAAATCTCCGGTTATGTTTCAGGTGATATCCGAGTATTGCCGCACGCGTCTTCAATCAAAGCCCTTCACTCACATAGTGATGGACATGTATCGGGAAGTAATGAAATCCCCTCAGTACGCCGCTCGAAAACGCTTAGCGTACCAGCATCTAAATCCACCAACACCGTTGCGCAATCCCTTAGAAATGCCGGAGCACAATCTTCGCCAGGGTAATTACCCCCATCATCATCAGCAACATCCGCAGCAATTGGATCCCCTTCACAATGGCCAGGCGAAAAGTGTTCATCAGTATCAGTATCAAGATCGGTCCTATCATATGACCAATCAGTACAATGCTCTTCGACAGACCCAGCAACGTCCACCTACTCAGTTTCACCCGCACCAGCATCACCAACGCCTTCAGGAGCCTCCTCAATTAGCTCAGCCGACCAAAGTGCATCATTATCACCATCACCATCCGGCGAAGGGCGCGCTGTTCAAGCTACAATCGAGAAATTCGCATTCCCATCCAAATTTGCCGAGTCTGTGCGGCCAGCAGCCGCAAAATCGGCGGCAAGAAGGAAATTTCGAAGATCGTAGGACACAGTTTCAATCGCAATTGAACGTTCAAACGAATGGACGAAGCGTTGGTCCGGCGATACAGCATCAACGACGCCATCATTCGAGGACCTACTCCCAGCCGATTTATACCAGATTACAACACACCAGGAGCAGTGGCAATTTACCCTCTACCATCGGTGAAAATAATTCTGGAGGGAATGTTTATAGCGATCCTATTTACGCGTTGCCTGTGAAGCCGTTCCTCAGCTCCCAAGATGTCAGGGTGAATGGACTATCCGTGAAGCCACCTGGGGGTCATCGTAACGAGGACGTTTATGCTGTCACGACGATAGCAAGGTAGGGTTTCATTGTTATTCTTTCCTGTTTCTTTTGTAGCGGATTCGTCGCTAGCATGTTTTTCGGTAGGCACGAGGTCTTCTTATTTTTAGGAAATTTTATGGCGGGGATTTGTACGAGCCTGGTCAATGTCGGGCCACGCTTGTAGTCAATTTAGGTTATATACCGAACCTGAGTTCTCAATTTTGGTGAGGCCATTCGGAAACAGCCCTTTGTGCGCCCTTTCTTCCTAAGAATTTTCTTGCTTCCTGTCCTCTTCTAGGACAGAGCATATAACCCGGGTAGAGCTGTGAAGAAGCGATATACATATTCACGAGAGTGGATTCCCTGCATGCATTTCGAAAGAAAAATAAACCGAATGTCAAGATTAATTGATTTACCCTTCACCTGACTTTCTTTGCGCCAGATGACAAAGTTGTTAAGGGATTAAGGATAAAATGAAGGTCTCTGATAGTTGAAATTAAACAATGGATGAATTTGTGTGACAGGCGACCGTCAGCAGCCGGTTATTCCCATCCGGACATAGCAACGTCGTCCGTAGGACGAGATGAGGTTTACGGGCGATCAACGAACGTCACGTTACAGAGGCAACACTCAAATCCCCAGCTGCCCAGCAGGAATCAACAAGAGGATGATTTTAAGCTCCACTCGGAGCAGAATGTTGCGACGGCCGATCACAGGTGTCCGAGAGGGAAAGAGGAGCAATTAATTCAACAACAAAATCCAGTGTCTTCCATACGAGCGAGAAGTGTTCAAGGGCCACCAAAGCCACCCCGGATAATTACCACCCTGAAGAAGGCTCCCTTCTCTGATGCGGAGAGCAGTAAGTCGGAACCTCCTGCAAAACCACCTAGGTAAGATTCTTATAAATAATATACAGTGGACCGCAAAAGTATTCGCACACCATTTAAAATAGAATACCTCATTTAAAATTGGACCAAATGATTTGAGATTTTTCAAAAGCAACAAAAGCACATATCTTAGTAAATTAATTTGTATAGCTTCTCGAGTAAACCTCAAGTCATTTGATCCAATTTTAAATGAGGTGTTCTGTTTTAAACAGTGTGCGAATACTTTTGCGACCCACTGTATATCATGTATTATAATTTTGAATAGTGATAGAGTAGTCGAAATCAACCCTAAGACATTTTACAAGATCTCATTTTTATAACCTCCAGTTGAAAAATGATCCAATAATGAGGAGAATCCTGGAATCGCGAATCCAGTTGCTAACATTGAAATTTATCACCGACCTTCTTACCCGCGTCATCGCGTTGGAATTTCATCAATCTCGAGGACGTTAAATTAGAGTGTAAAGCGCGGCACTCGGCAGTCGAACAGTCTTTCGGGTATTCCCCCTCTGCCCGGCGTTATTAAGTTTGCCCCAAGTCATACGTCCGCGTTAATATATGCTTTCAAGTAATGTAGGTCGCAGCCTACACCCTACAGCCCGTCATCCACCCTCTCAGAGAAGAGTGTAAGACTCTGCTAGGGACTCAAAGCGAAAGGACACTCTAGCTTTTAAAACTGGTGCTCATTGATTTTGGATTTCTTCGATGATATTCCCTTTGTATCTTAACAAAGCACGGTTTAAGGTTACCAGGGATACTTAGGGTTGAAAATTTCAATCGTCCAACACAAAGTATTTTTATTCCACAATAAAGAGTATTCAATGAGAATTTTCATATGAAATTGAGAAATAAAAATATTTATAATATTGCAGTATCGTAGCTTAGGACTTAGAGTAGTTTATATTTCTAAATTCTAAAGGCAGAAAGAGGGCAATAAAAGTGAAAGGCAGTGACGGAAACCAGACCCAAAGGTCGGCGAGAATTTTTGCGGGCCTTCGGCTCTAGTGTGAGAAAAAACATAAATGAGGGTACCTTTCTGAAATGGGGGAGACTTGAGTTGAGTTCAGTACCATTTTTATTATACATTCTAATAAAATTTCAGATATTTTATTTATGTTGGGGTATCATTTAATGTAAATATAGCATCAATTGTAATGGAAAGATTATTGAAAACTAATATAAATCATTAAAGCGAAAAGGTAAATTTCGGAAATCAATATAGGCTACCTCTATACGCATTTATAATACACGTTTTCTAACAATGCTTTCAGGAATCTGGTGAAGAATGGACCAAGGGCTCGACGCGGTAAAGCAGTACAAAGAGCACCGTCCCGCCTATACAGAACAGTGGGTGGACCCATGAGGTCTTTCAACAAAGCCCAATGTATTGGTCCTGAATTCGTAGTACGGGCCAATCAACCACCCAAAACCCTATGTGTTGGCCAAGCAAAGGTAAAAAGAAAATATTTTTTCTCTCTCTTTTTCATGTTCGATATTAATTTTTCATTGCACTGTACTGCAAATATACTATGAAAGTTTTGTATTTTGGCAAACACAAAAGAATTGGACGTTTCATTTTTAATTCATTGGCGAGTGAATGAAATTTTATACTGAAAAATATCGAATGGGGTTTGACTACCTCACTTTTTTATTCATTTAAATAATAACATAAATGCACATTTTATATTTTGCGCATTTGTTGAATTTACATAATATTCTATTACCTATATTTGTATGGATCACTTAACTAACTTTTTAAAGGACATGGATACTATAGAGACAAATTCTATTATTGAATAAAGGGGATGTTGGGATTATTATATTTTATTTATGTGGAAGAATTTGTAGAGAAATGAATTAGTTAATTAACTGTTAGATAGTTATTTGTCTGGTGTTTAGTATATGTAAAATTATTACAAAAGTGATGTTTTGGAGTGAAGGAAACAAAAGAACATTTCCGGTACCGGGAATCGAACCCGAGCCTCCTGGGTGAGAGCCAGGTATCCTAGCCACTAGACCATACCGGAGTTGAAACCCCTTTTCTTTATACCTGTACAAGCGTGGACAGGTGACCTTAATAATACAGTAATACTTGGTTGAATTTTATTAATTGTAAAATCTGCTCGGTTCACCCGGTTCACTCTTCCCCCGTCACTCAGCTCAGCTCGGTGAAACCTGATCTTAGTAGACAAGAACAGAAATTAAATTCAATGAAAAGAAAGAAGACAGACACACATCAAATGGATGCCGCGACTGGAAAAAATAAACATGCAATAAAGAAACTTTTATTTTCAGTCATTTTCGTCTTACCTTTATAATTATAGCAACAATAGATAGCTGACATTTTTCCGATTAAAATGAGTCCAAACACGATATAATTTGAACCATATTTACTCTACATGATTCATTATAATCTACTGTACGTGATTCATTATGTATTTATTAGATAACGTAAATATGATCCGATTTACGTCGTGTTTGGACTCATTTTAATCAGAACGATCTCAATAATCCAATGGTATAATTTTCATAAAAATAAGTTGAAAATTACTGATAGTGAAATTCTCGTTATTGCATGTTTATTTTTTTCCTATCGTATCTATTCTCTTATTCTGTCAAGTTCTGCTCCAGTCAATTCTCGGAATACAAACGCTACCTTGCTCGCGAGAATTTCACTGCTGTCTCCCGAACGGGAGATTGGACCGAGCATTACTGTACTTGGTTTTAAAATCTTTTTTTTTATTGCATCGCACTCACCTCATCTAATTTCTGTTCTTCTAAGAGTATGAATAACTTACAGCAATACATATTATCTTAAAATGTCAAATGAGCCTTTTAATTTAAGAAGTTTCTGAAATCACATTTTTTAAACATACATTTTTATATTAGAAAATTTTATTCCACATTAATCTTTTTCTATAGTATATAGAAAAATACGTGAAATATCACCAGCAAAATATGTGTACGATGTTGTTTCCAGAATATACTCCACATAATTCATTTTTGCTCGCGTGTTTCTCCTCGACTGGTTATGAAAGAATCCTCTCGTCGAACACGTGCAACGGTTGCTCCGTTGTTTATCCCTGCCAGCATGTCTTCACTCTGTCTTTTATCTCAAGTGGGTCGTTAATCCCTGCCTCTCCGGTTCTTAGAACGAGCAGAATTTAAACTTTTTACAAGAAGTTGCATTATGGTTTGCTTCTCAATTATTTCATATATCATTAACTTCAGAATTTTATCAATAACAGTATAATGATACAATTTTTGTTATAATTTTATAATGAATGGTAAATGTGCTTGTAAATGTTATATCATAAGTGTATATAACCGAAAAAAAATTAAATGCCAAAATTTAAACTTCCGGTACCGGGAATCGAACCCGAGCCTCCTGGGTGAAAGCCAGGTATCCTAGCCACTAGACCATACCGGAGTGTGGAAGCACATTTCTTGAATAAAATTTTCAACAGTAACTAAATATTTTTAACTAACAAATACATAATATAAATGATTGTATTATTCTTTAATGAAAAAACGTGCCTCAGTTTTGTAATATGTATACTACAGTAAAACCTGGATAAATTCAACCAAGATTGGGACCCAGTGGTTGCATTTACCTAAGCGAGGTGTCGAATCTCGGGTTACACGCGACGACCAGCCAAGCGTGAACGTAGAAAGGGATGGACAGTGGCGGAAAGAGAGAGGTCCGATGATCAAAGGAAAGAGCCGAAACGTATCGGCGTGACTAATACTAATTGAATCAAAAAACTCTTTTATTTTCGACTTTTTTTTAGTGAAACTTTTACTAGCGCATTGATGAGATTTTTGTGATTAAAGTGGTACCAAACACGATATAGTTTCAATTATAATTACTTGCTAAAATTGATGTTAAAAGTTGGCGAAAAGCAAGAGAGATCGAAATCAAAACCAGTCGCGGTGTCGGCTCTGGTTTCAAAGGTTTCATTTATCCTGGCGAGGTGTCGATCTTACACAAAGTAACACCCGTTAAATTTAATTTCTGTTTCTTTCATGAACGCTGTTTTTTTTTTGTTACTATTATCATTGAATTAACTTATGTAACTTAATTTTTAAAACATATTATAGTTGCAATTATTACAATCGTTTTGTAGTAATAATGATTTAATAGTGGTAATTTGTACATCTGACTCGTCTCTTGATTATTTGCAACTGAACTCCTCGCGCGTTGCTCTCTTCGCGGAAGGGAGCCTCTCCCCACCGATGTGCCGCGCGGCTCGTGGCATCCGCCCTATGTCGATTGTCTCACAATTAAAAATCAATTTTTAGTTTTCTTTTTAAATAAATGAATATTATGAATTAAAAGTTTTTTGTGGATGGAAAAAATTAATTTTCCGGTACCGGGAATCGAACCCGAGCCTCCTGGGTGAAAGCCAGGTATCCTAGCCACTAGACCATACCGGAGTGCTGAGTTCATATTTTTTCAGTTTCGTCACCAGGCTTGCAGTGTAAAATATATGTTAATCATTTTTATATTTTATGTAAAATTAGTTATTATTATTACTTTCATGAAAGACACACATGTTATAACCATTTAACTATGTACAATAAAATATATTAATCTTTTTGTTTGTTAAAGAGCTGTATTGACCTGAAATCATTTATTTTGGTAATTGAAAATTTGTAATTATGTACCTCATTTTTATTTAAACAGACTGGCAATTCTGGACGAATCGTTGTAATAATGTTGACTGGTCAACGTGTGGAAGTGACATGCGATCCTCAGAAAGTCACAGCCGGTGATTTATTTCAGGTAATTAATTATATAGCAATTAAATTTTCAATACATTTAATCAACCGAAAAGGAGAGAAGATTTTTGATTTTTAGATCGATATTTCAAAATATTTATTTCGATATTTAATAAAGTTTTTAAATTGAATCGAAGAGTAGATAGGTTTTCGATTGCGAAAAGTGATGAAAAAGCGTTGAAATTCAATCAAAAGTATGAACTGACAAGAGTTTTTTGCGAAGAGTGGCCGTGGATGATAAGGGATTCAATTTGCTAGGCAATCATGTTTGAATGATACGTAAGTATCATTTACAGAAAACATGTAAGCTTCCATACAGTCGAGTAAAAAAAAAGTTTTTACTTTTTATACTTTTATACTTTTAAATATCATAGGTGAAAATAAATGAAAACAATTAAAACATACAAAATTTACGATGATGGTAAATGGAAATAACATTTTCTTTTCAAACTTGAAACACCAATTTGATACTTTTGATAATTTGATTTTTCTCAATTGCTAATCTTTTAACAATAATTATATTTTTAATTTTGTAATGTTAATCAATTGGTGTATCTCATTCGTTTGAAAATTTTTTTGAAAAAGAATTTTTCATGTTGAGATGATATTCAATGCTTCTTATTTGGGAAGAATTTTATATAAATAAAGTTTGAATCATGGGGTTTTAAATCATAATATACATAGAATGTTACAATAGGAAGACTAGAACGTGGGTGGTTGAGAAGACCACAAATTCCGGTGTGAACTCATGTGAAACTATGGCATTCTGCCAAGGATAATCGTTGTATATGACAAATCCACAGACCATGAGTTATGCGATATCACCAATTAACGTGTGTGTATCTTGAAACAAGCGTCTTAATCATTTACAAAAAGTACAATTGTTATACATTATACAAATCTCAATCTAATTCATTTTCTGTTATTACGATCTAATTTTAATATTACACTCTTAATAAAATTTTAGCACTTCTTTTTTTTTTAATTTTGTCTGATTAGAGGATACATGTACAAGAGAAAAGTATTACGAATTTGAGATTATCGATCCAAGTGTAGGAGGTTCAAGCATGAAAGAAACTTTGAAATTGAGTTGACACATTTCACGAAGTCCAATACAAAGTTTCTTATCAGTTGTGATTTAAGAAGTTACTTTAAAATGTATTTATATGTATTGGATTTTCTCAGGAAACTGTGAGAGATTTGCAAACACGTCAAATCTTTGGTTCTTGGATTATTAATAGATTTAGTTCTGAAATCAATTTCATAAAATCAATTTTATGTTTAACCGCAGGTACCATAACTTTATTATGGAATTTATATTTGACTTATTAATTAATCCTTCGTTGAATTATGCTGCTAATCTGCTGTATAAAATAATATAGAACGAAATTCTTGTATTTGTTAAACATTTGTAATTATCTATTTTGTTTTACATAAATTTTCAGGAATACCTAGAATTTTATTGGGTCAAATTCGTAATTAAATCCATTCATATGGAAATTGAAGCTTTACCCAAATATGAATGACGTGTTAAATACGAGTAAAATGCAATCTAATAAACCTCCTGGCATTCACCATTTATTTAACAAGCGTGATTTACACGTGTATCTGATCAAAGGATATCTCTGATCTCGCGTAATTACATGATTTGCATAATGAATACCACGTAACTGATTTTAGGCCATCGTACAAGCTGAAAGCCTCGATGAAAACTTCACCCTTGGCCTGGCTGTGTTATTAGCGGGTGATTTCGCGATTTTACCCCCTGACACTAAATTGAATAAAGTTGCGCCACCAGGATGGTTAAGCAGCGGCAAAAGCAAAGGTCTTCTGGGTCTTCCAACTAGTTTTATGCTGTATCTGAGGCTCAGGTTCTTTCTACCTTCTCTTCGTGGTATAAGGTATTCTTCATAAATAAAATTAGAATAATATAGAGCAATCGATATTGAAATAACAAAAATTAAAATAAAAAATTTCAGATTTTTAAATTTCAATTTAAGAATGACTGTAAATAATAAAAAATTAATTTAGTTTTTATTAGAAAAATAAAATTACTATTTCACGTTTGAATATATCCTACATCCATCCATCGATACGACGTTCAATTTATTTTTTTCAATTATTGAAGAGAAATAAAGGAGCGAACGCCGCACGACGGCACGTTTTTACCCGTTGACTGTAGGCAATTATTTAAACATCGATTAATCATTGATTGTTTGTTTGTTTTAGAAGTTGGATATCGAAACACCTACTGTATCTGCAAATACGTCGATGTATATTGGAGCAACAGCTGGTATGCCCGTATCACGAGTTAATTAATCTAACCGGACTCGCTCTGCAGGCTGAATTCGGGAATTATAACGCGAACGTGAGTAAATGGAAGATTTATTACTTTTACGGATGAATAAAATTGTACATCAACTGAAAAGCGAGCGTCCATATATAAATAATTGTAGCACAATGAAAATGTCAATTATCTGTTGTTGCTAACAAATTATTAATGATTCTCACTATTCAACTTAAATTGGGTATAAAAATTGAATTATTTAAAGCAAACTATATTTTTTCCTATTAACAAGCGTACAAATTTAATTACAGCACTAATTTTACACTTTTTCACTCTTTTCTAATGAGCTGACTAATTTTTTATTTTATAAACGTTACTCTAAAGAAAATAGCCATTTAGTTTTTATCTCCCTTTAGGAACACGGTTGCGGTGATTACTTCCTGCTCGAGCACTATATCCCGGAATCCCTGATTTTAAACATGGACCAGCCTCAGTCGCAAATCAACACCGGAGGAGCGGAGGCTCTTCGAGCGCGACTCCACCAGGCCCATCGCGATAGACGTGGTTTGGACTCGAACAAAGCTGAAGACATGTTTGTAACTCACGCACAAACATTGCCGGATTACGGATCTCATTATTACATAGCAACCGTGGACTCGAAGGAATTGGAGAAAGTGATGGCCCAACAGAGGAGAAGAAAGAGCAATGACAATCGCGACGTGACTGACGGTCCAGAGAATATTTACTCTCAGAATAAACAAGAATATCCGCTGCGTGGTAGAGTCGAGATAACTCGATTAGGTTCCTGTGAGAATATCCCAAAGATTTCGTACGAGGAGAAGAAACTTGGTGGTTTGATGAAGAGTGCGACCTCGGCGGATATATACTCGGCCCAGAAGTCGTCCAAGTGTCGTGTGGAATCGTGCAACAATAATAACGTTAACAATGTTAATAACAATAACAGCTTGAATCACGGAAAGAGTGGTAAAAGTGGAAAGAAGAAGACTGAAAGTAACGTCTGGCTGGCTATACACGCGCAAGGATTGAAATTGTTCGAGAGAGGTGGCGAACCGAGGGAAAGAATTGAACTGGCACAGTTTCAGTGGAAGGATATTCAGACGTTGAGTTATAGCAAGAGTTGTTTAGTTGTTTATAGTAAAGTGAACGGGAAACGGTGCAAGTTCAAGCTCAGGATGGATCATCGAAAGTAAGTTGAATATTTTCTTAAATTTATTAAAATGTTTGATTCAGTAGTTGGAGTTTTTGAAATAATTCTTCCATTAAGTATTAGAAATAATTATTTACAATAATATTTTATACTTCTAACTAAACTCGAGTTAATCAATTTTTGCAACGTTACGATGTTACTGTTTAAAAATATAGAAAATATCAATTTATTGGCAAATTGGACAGAAAAGTAATTGTTGAAATAATAGAACTGAAATATTTTATTTCTAGAAATCTGTATACTTTTTTCACAGAAAATAATAACGTGCTTCCCTCTGTTTCTACATTTCGGTACAATCACAGCCTCGTAATGGATTAATTAATTATTTTCTGAATAGCCGTAAATGTTGTGTTGCTGTTGAATGGAAGTTCAACCAGCTTTGTATAAAATTTGAATAAATACGGAAAGTATTGAAATATTAACATTGAAACGTTTCATTCGGTGCGTTTGAATAATATTGAAATGCGAATCTATTCAAGTAATTAGTTGGTAAATAACTTCAATTAGATGAATAGAAATGAATGGGGTGGCAGCGTCAAATGCTTCGAGTTTCTTGCCCTCGAATAGAATTTGAAAGAACATTTAACGCGCTGCACGAAACGTCACGTAAGTTTCGGGTTTAAGGGTATTTTTATTTTTGCAGAAGTTACTTCGCTTTCAAGCTCACATCTTTGCATCACCAGTTCTTTTTAAGGCTGCGTTCGGAGCTTACTTCGCTTCAGGGACTCGCGAAAGGTACGTCTCTAGTTCGTAACTTTGTTTTTGTATTTTTTGAAATAAAGTTAAGCTGTTAAGGAAGGGATTTAGTCAGTGGCAATCGACTGTGAGATAAAAATGAAGGGTATTAAAATTTCAGTACATTTCAGCTATGTATATTATTTTTATTTTTTTCTACACCACTTTGAATATTAATATTGTCAAAATTAGAATTTTTTAAGTTCTTGCTTCCCCTGGGAAAATCCACATTGTCAAAATTAAAATTTTGAAAATTCCTGCTTTCCCTGGAAAAGCCTCCTTTTTTTATTTTATAAAAAAAGAATTATTTACAATAGACAAATAAATAGACAAATAAATTTCCAATTTAGTGCTGCTAAAAATGAACAAATAATTCCAGAATTTGGAGTCCCCACAACGATGGAAGCGAAACAATCGCCATCCAAGACGAAATCCCACGACAGTAAAACGAAAATAGCCATAGCGAACACGGTAAAGAACGTGCAGTTGAGGCCAAGTTACGCGATGCAACTGGAAGAGTATCAGAACAAAGAGAACGAAAATCCTCAGAAAGATACAAACGCGATCCCAAAGACGAAGGATGTCGTACACGAGCCCGGTATCTACTTATCCGAAGAGGACGCGCTTTACGCGCAAGTGAACGTTCGACTGGAACCGGAAGGCGAGTCACGTGATACGGAAGATGAATCCGAGAGAAGTTTAACGACATCCAACGAACCGCTTTCGTTGGATGGCCAAGGGATAAAGAACGATGGTAAACTTTACAATTGTCCACGAATAGAATTGGACACTGAGACGGAGTGCGGTTATTCGCTTCCAAAAATCATGTCCACCAATGATATGGACCAACTGGATAAACCGGAAAATCCTGAAGAATTGTACGCAGCGATCAACAAGGTCGGGATTTCGAGGAAGAATAAGTTTCCGGTCCCGGAGGAGGTTTGGGATGTGTCGGATGTGAAGAAATCATTGCACAAGGTAAATCAGTTTTTAATTGACGAGTGGATATGAAATTATAATAATTATAAAGTATTGTATATAAAAATAAAAGCGCAAGCGTCAGATTCTACCAAATGTCCAGTCGTCAAAATGTTAAAATAAAATGTTAAAACATTTGTTGTATTGAAAAGATCTTGATCTACGTAATAAAAACTTAGTTAATTAAGAAATTATATGAAATTTGAATATTTATAAAAATTAACCATCGGAAGGTAAATAGAAATGGTATGGTATATTTTATAGGTGAAGACCTCTAGTTTACCAAATTATGGAACACCCAGGCAGACAGGGGGTTACCGTACACCGAGCTTACCACGTCGTCTAGGGGTGAAGATGGGAACACGAGCGATTTACAGTAGCCTCGTGCAAAAAGACACCGCCCTTACCGACGACATGGAATCTCTGTCGCTAAAGTCAGACACAGAATCGTCGATTCAGTCGTTGTCTGCAAGGTCCACGGAATCTCCTCCACCGGAAGCATACGTGCTCAGTTAGTAACGTTACCATTTGGAATTCTGAACATGTTAAAATACTTGAAATCATTATTCTTATTTTTAATAACAATTATCGTTTCCCTATGTCTTACTATGTACATCCGTTTTTACATCGGTCGTTTAAAAACTCAAAATACCCTGAAAAATTATAAAGAAATACTTAAAAAAATACTGTATATGAATTTCAAAAATTGTATGCAAACAGACGCAGATATTCGAACAGACGACGAGACGTTCCACGTTACCGAAGACGAATCAATGTCTGCTTCTTTAGCGGCACGTCTCGAAGAATTATCTTTCGCCGAGGAACGAATTCTCCAAACTATTAAATTGGAAAGAGGTCACGGCGGTAGTATAGGATTGCAAGTGACGGAAGGTAACGATGGTGGCGTTTACGTCCAAGCGGTATCGGTCGGAGGATCGGCCGATATGGCAGGAAACGTGAATAAAGGTAAGTTTGAAATGCCATTTTTCACGGTAATCTCATTAATTTGGTGGAATCTACCGATTACAGGCGATCGTATCGTGGCGATAAACGGGCAGAATTTATTGCACCTGCGATATGAGGATGCTCTGAAGATGCTGCAAAGCACTTCTGACACGATCGAACTTGTCCTTTCGCAATCTACTTCTCGTAAAAAAGTCACCTCCAGGCAGAATCATCAGCAACCCGCGGATAATAATTATTTGAAGTAAGTGGAACAATTTTTAAATAATGTAAATTTCTTTAAATTCTGTTTCTAAATTTAATCAGTAAAGTTTATTTAAATTTAAATTGTTGGGTTTATTACATTTATTAAGATTTATTTATGAAATATTAGTAACAAATACTTTTGAAAATTAAAAAATTATTCACAAGTTAAAGGCCGTAAGTATTTCTGAAGCAAAACTTTTAGGAAGAAAATTATTTTGTTCAAACAATTTAATGTGCAACTGCTTGGAAACGTTTTTCAGCAGAGACAACTGTAGTGAAAGGGTTAAAAATGGGTGTTTATCTTGTTACAGTGACATCAGATTCGACGTGTCCTCGGAAGCGGATACGTCGAGTATGACGAACAAATGGCTGGTACAAAGGACTACCGATGTTGCATCAGTGCAAAACACCTCAAGTGCATACAGCAGTGCTGCATCGAGTGCAATGGGTAATCACAACGCAAACAACCTGTACATGGGCGATCTCGTCGATAATGGCCCTCTTAAGTCCGCCAGTATGTTGCTTAGTATAGAAGACTTCGACGTCAGCAGGACGAGTCGCCAAGTTTTTATTTAATCGACGATATACAAGTTAGTACCATTTTTTATTATAATACTTTTTATCTTATTCAATCTACTAAACTTCCTTACAAAATCTAACGATGCTTCTCTACTTCGTGAAAAATTAAAAAAAGCAAATTTTTTGAAATATTAGTCTTTTATTTGTAACTTTGTAACTTTGATTTAATACAAGTAATATTTTTAAAAACAATTTAAAAATATAGAATAACTGATAATATTAATTATTAATCGCGACGAATTAAGTGTTATAGAATAATATAAATTGTTCAGAACATTAAGCCTTTTGAAGCTTAAATTTGGTAATTTGAAGGATTGGAAGTGAATTAGCATATAGAATCGTTCTATTTGCAAGACTGACATTTCGCTTACCCTTTGAATTTCGGTTCACTAATCGAGGTAATAGCCACCCGCACAATTCTGGTAGAAAATACTATTAAGACCATTACGTCCATTATATTGTACATGGCTGCATCGACTACGTAACTTAATCGAATTGTTTTTATCCATTTAACGGACGAAGCCTTGCTCAGAGTTCGAGGCGGCATCATTTGCTACTCTTTCTACTTGTTCGTTTAATACGAACTGTCACGCAGGCTTGTCCTATTGTTAGAAACAAAAAATTCGAATGATATTAAATTTTCTATTCTTATATTCTATTTCTCACAATATTCCAAATTAATTTTATTTCTGAATATTTTAATTACTATTTATTGTCACTTTTATTCTTCTCTCAATGTCATTATTGTCTATTTTCTAAAGTATTCTGTTGAATTAGATTCATTACTTACCCAAACAACAAAGGAACGCCCAAATCTAATTTGAATCTTCTTAATTTCAATACAAAGAATATCTAAAACTTCGTTGTACGAAATTTACAAAATTTGTTTAATCGATTCGTAGACATTTGAATAAGAAAAGTAATCCTATCCGGGACAAAAGGTAACCCTACCAGTCCTATCACGTTCAGAAACAGCATCGATTTTAGAATTTCCCCAGACGTATCCCATCAGGGTCTTCCTTCATTCAATAGGAAATTTAAACTTGCCAGCATTAGTGAATCACTGCTATTGACCGCGAAGCGAGAAGGGGTGGGAAGAGGTAGCCAGAGGATCGTCTGTCATTTGTACGGAATCACCCTTAGTATCCCTCGGACGTTCTAACGCCGTGGGTTAGTCACGCGTTTCTGTATTTCGAGTTTCGTTTGAAAACATTCGCGTTAACAGTCGTCCGACGGTCTGCGACATGCAGAAACATAAATCTCCGGGATCGCTATAAATTTCCTGTGCGCCACGGTACAGTTTCTCTTCGTCGAGTTTCCCGGTATAGCCAAGCGCGCGACACCGAGTCAGTCGAAACTTTAAATTGATAAGAGTTAGCCGAGGACAATAGAGGCGAGCTTCTTGAACGTCTGCCAGTGCCATGCACACCAACGTCCGATCAATCGTTGTTTCAGACGCAGAGTCGACGAGCGCACCGCCGGTCCCGCCTAGACGCAAGAAGCGAAAACCGAAGCCCGCGGCGATCGCTAGATCTCCTGTTTCACGAGAAACTTCACCGAGCGCGGCTCTCGAGAAGCCGGATAGAAAGCGTTCGGCGCCTCCTCCGCCTCCACCGCGGACAGCTCGACGAATCAAATCCCGTCAGTCAGAGGGAAGAGTTTCGAACGATCCAGAAACAGCCCGTGCCGAAGAAACGTCGTACGATCGCGTTTCCATTATAAACGAAACGCGTAATAACGAAAAGAATTCAGACCGTGTCGTAGATTCGCCAAGAAAATCACGACTCGCGTTCACCAAGAAGGAGACCAACAAGTATCCTCCGCTCTTCTTCACCCTGCACGACTTTCAAAATGTTATGTCAAGCACGTTGCAACAGGGAGACGATCTGGCGGACAAATCGTCCACGGAGTTCGCCACCTCCCTTAACGATCCTCGCCGACAGTCCTTCGAGAATTCGTTGGACGACGAAGAGAACGAACTCTGTTTCCGTGTCACCACTACGAATCTACCGTTCGAGAGGTGTTTGGACAGATGGACCGCCACGTTTGCCGACCACTTTATCGACAAGTTCGACGAGTCGAATCGTTTCATCTTCGAGGACTACATCGACAGAAGCAACAAGGTAAACGTTCGTCGATCGACCGGTCCGATGTGCTACGACAGCTACGAAGAGGAGCCCTCGGTACCTCGTTTGACCAAGGTGAGATTCGTGATCGAGTCGCCGAGCACCTCGACGCCGGACGAGGACGAGGAACTCGTGTGCGATAGTTTAGGAAACATAGAGCCTCTGCTGGACGAGGAAGTTAACTTCTGTCGCGGATCTTCCGTGCGATTGACCGAGATCGCCGATGACACGGATTGTTCGGAGGGAATCGAGGATGAGAGTCGTCGGGATTCAGATGAATTTGGAGATGTGCCCCTCACCTCGATCTTGAGGACACGAAATCATTCCACCGAGCGGATGTCGCTGGAAGATGCCTCGAATATCATTGAATTCACTGATCAAGAATCCTTCTTAGAATGTGAAATTACTCGAAATGATTCTAGAGACTCGTTTCACAGCTCCAGCTCGCAGGATTTGCAAAATGATACAGTTTTTCCTAAGTTGAAGATTACGGAGGTCAGCAAGGCTTGGTTGAATCTGATCAAACCGAAAACCGAGTGCACTGTAGTGTTGGCAGAGATTAGAGAAGATTGTTTAATTGATAGATTCGATGATTCGAATGAAGGGAAGAATGAAAATGATAACACAAATGAGATTGAGAGTGATGTTAAAGAGTCGATGATGAACGAAATGAATGTTAATGTTGATCGAGAAGACGAAACCGCTGAAGAAAATTTAGAAATTGGTGAACAGAAATTGGTAACAGGTGAGATCGATGATTTCGATTACAGATTGACAGTAAATGAAGTAGACAATGATATCCTGAAAGAAGAATCAGTACTAGATGAAGTGAAAAATGAATTTAATGAAGAACAAAAATTGGTAACAGATAAAATTGAAAATTTTGATCACCAACTAACAGAAAATGATATTGTTAAAGAAGAGTTAGTATTAGATGAAGTACAGAATGAAGTTAAGGAAGAAACAAAGGAAAATGGACAAATAATAAATGATCAATCTGATAAATCGACAACGGAATACAGAAGAAGAATTTTTGTAAATGAATCATTAAGAAATCTGATGAATCGTCAGGATTTTTCATCGAATGACTTTGGAGAAGAAAATTCAAGTTTAGAGGAGAGTAGTGAAAGTTTAAACCAACCAGAAGAAGATTCTCAAGGATCGAATAACAAAAACCCCGACGAGGTGAAAGATAACAAAATTATTACAAAAGCTGAAATTTTTGAAAGAAAAGAAAGCATCAGTGTCCCAGTTGACGTTCGAAGAAACTCTTTCCTGGAAAATATGCTGTCTAAAGATTCGGATCAAATCTGGACGAGTTGTGAAATTGTTGCTGCTCATCCAAAAACATCTTCCTTGATAATAAATGAGGAATCACCTTCAGAAAATAAAATTGCAATCAGATTAAATGATTCGATAAGCAAGGACCTAGAAATCCAACAAATTTTACAAGAATCCAAAGCGTTGTTAAAAAAGGTAGATACCAGTGTTCCAAAATTAATCAGACCTAAAATCACCCCTCCATCGAAGGAGAAAAATCCTGGCGAGATAAAGTGCACAGTGTTAAACGAATTGCTGTCCAACTTCAACAGTATTAAATTGAAGCCAGCGAAGAAAGTCATCGTTGAAACTCTTCCTCAAATGACTGCTTCTATTCACCAAAATGTGGATCAACAGAATTTAGAAACTTCAAGAAACCTGGAGAATTTGCATGGTAAGATAACCAAGGAAACTTCCGACGGAGTCTCTGACCCAAAACCAAAAATGCTCTCATTGGAACAGGAGGATAAGATTATCTCTTCGGCATTTAAAGTTTCAAATTCAAATGACTACGACAATAAGATCCAAGAATTACCAAGAGAATCAGACACCAGCGTTAGGGAAGAAGATCCAAAGAAATTAACAAGATCCTCGGAAGAACTAATTAAAATGTCAGAAATGAATCTATACAGAGCCAAGGTTATCCAGAACGAAGATTCTTCAGAATCGTCGAAAGATACGAGCGAGGATCGCGTCGAATTGCAGGATCAAAATGTTGAAAATAATACGGAGGTCAGCGCGAACCCTTTGAAAAGTGAAAAGACTGACGTAACAGTACACGAATCTGACGATCGTGATCGCGGAGAGGATGAAAATATGAATTATAATCGAGTTGAACGGTTAGATTTAAGAAGCAGGAGGACGTTTAGCGGCGATAAGAAGAGTGCCATAGTTAGGAGGATCCCTCGACCCCGTTGTAATAATAATGACAATAACAGGGCAGTAACACCCGTAGCTGTAAGTGACGACCAATCCCGTGACACTGTAACAATAACCCCAGGTAGAGTTAGGAGCTTCGTTAGGTATTACGAGATTCGACGCGAGGCGACCACCACCGACAAAGATTCTAAAGATAGAGATAAATTAGATAGAGATAAGGTTGCCGGACACCGGTCGGTCGTCAGCATCTGTAGAGGTCTGGAGGCGAAATCCAAGTCCTCCGACGCGAAGGACACCCTTCGGGCATCGCTAATGGAGAAGAATCCGGAATCGATCGGTTGCCCCGTGTACGTGGATCGCTTAACCGACGAGAAGTCTAACGTCGAGGAATTGAAAGACGATTCAAGGACCGGTTCGTCGCGAGAGCCTTGCGGCGATTCGTACGCGCAGTCCGGTAAGAAGAAGAGAAAGAAGTCGGTGAAATTTCAAGGTGGATTCACGGTGATCGGTGCGAAAAGTCCTGACAAAGATCGCTCCTCCGGGAGTCGGGATACGAGAACTGGAAGGAAAAGGGCTCCCGACAGGCCGACGCTGAAAGGAGCCGTTTTCAGTGGGAAAGTGGATCGCCAAGATGCCGAGAAATTGGCGGACGATGACTCGCGAATCGAGAAACGAGACGTTGCTGCTCAGGTTAGTAATTAGGTTAATTGGATGAATAGGATGACGCGTTAGGAAATTTTGAAAACGTGTTTTTCTATAACAATATTTGTAGGTAGGGTATTTTAATTACTTTTCTTAATGATTTTTATTGATTTTTTGTACATATACTTTGAGGGTACAAGTAGGGGCGAAATATGTAAAAATATATTTTTAAATAATTTCTCGTTTATAATTTATTTATTTCTGAGACGTTGCTGCTCAGGTTAGTAATTGGGTTAATTTAATGAATAGGATGACACGTTAGGAAATTTTGAACACGTGTTTATCTATAGCAATATTTGTAGGTAGGGTATTTTAATTACTTTTCTTGATGATTTTTATTGATTTTTTGTACATATACTTTGAGAGTACAAGTAGGGGCGAAATATGTAAAAGTATATTTTTAAATAATTTCTCGTTTATAATTTATTTATTTCTAACTTTTTAGTTGTATTAGACCCACCGTTTGAAATAATTATTTATAATAGATGAAGTGAAATAATCGTTTGCTTCGTTTTTCCCCCGCAGATACAAGCCGCAGCAGAATGCAAGGAATGTTCAGGTATTAATCGCTTCGTTCCAAAACCAGAAACCCCACGCCTCGTATTTTATTGTACTGTATAGTTAAATTGTAGTTTCTATAAGTCGTCGTGGTCGTCGTCGTTCCCCTCGAATCTCACTGTAAAATCTTCCCGCGACATTTTTATTACGTCCCAGCTGTATCATTGTTTCTCAAACGTTCTATTCTTTTTTTAGGGTCTTAACCGAAGAACAGATTTTGCAATATTTCATCTTTGTATCTAACAAATTATATATTTCTCTGTTTTATTTACAGGAAAATTTAATTATGATAATATAGCAAATGATAATAATTATTTTTTTAAATTTCATTTTTAGAAAAATAGTAGATTTGCCAAACGCTATAATTCTTTATTTAGCAAACAAATTAGTCCAAATTGTGTTGAGAGAAGAATTTTGTATTTAACTACACCATTTGTCCAATGCACATTTCCTGTAACGTTCATGGTTAAATGGTAACAAGCAGATGTTCCCTTTTCCCAAGAGGATTTAGAGTTATCGCGGGTTCACTGGGCAAACAAATTTTTCGGTCAACTGCATTAGTTGTCTTTGGTCTGGATTTATTTAATTCGGCTCGGTTAGAGGTAAGCACGTTTCCACGGTGCTTGTCCTTGCAATTTCTTGCATCATTTTGTTCCACTTACTTTACGTGTTTTCGGCTAATGCGGCTTTCCTAGATTTATTACACCCTCCAGGAAGAGGAACAAAAACCCTGCGTTCTGTGGCTTTGTTCGAATCCCTGTTTCTTGTGTGACGTAATGACCTGTCGCGACAATTTTGTAAAATACCATTGATTGAAGTAGATCTAAAAATTAATAGGAGAAATTATGAACTTTAAATGAAAATTCTTATATTCATTATCTATGATTTAATTTTAGTGTTATTTGTTGAGTTTGTTTAGTATAATTGATTTTAAATAGTATTATTATTGAGTTAGTAATTTCAGATAGCTAATTGAAAAATAAAAAATGTATTTTTAGATTGAATTGATTAGTCATGATTTTTTGCAAAAATTACTTTAATTATAATCATTTGCATGGTGATTCAATTACTTCAGGTATGAAAATTAGACTTAATTAGATGCAATTAAACAATCTATTTCTTTTTTTTTTTTGGTAAAGAGTTAATTGAAAAAGGAATAGTAAATAATGAAAAATAAAATATAAAAAAATAATTATAGATAATTAATTAGTTTTTGTAGGGTGATAATTTAATTGTTAGTAGAAGAATGTGCAGTGGTAGTGATATTTAAATTAAGAAAATAGGACAGCAATCGTAAGAAATAAAGCGTTCTATATAAAAAAGAGAAAATGGAAATCTGTTCTTTCGTTAAGCTCAATTTGCACGGTTAGCTTCCGTTCTCCGATCGCCTTAGTCGTCTATGTTAAACGAAACGGCAAACAGCTTTTAGCTCTGTTATTGTCGCAACCTACCTTGCGCATCCTTTCTATAGGAGAACGTTGTTTTTTCGCAGATAAAATATCGTAACGCAGATTTCGCGCGCGTATTAACCCCATTGTTCTGCGTGTATCGTGTAATCTTAATGTAAAGGTGGAAGTAATTTTACGTGGTAGAGTAGAACATGGAAATACTATACTTGTTGCGCTGTTTTCGTTGCGTATACGCGTTCAGCTGTTCGATTTAAATACACGTTAGTATTTCAGTGTCGTAAAAAGTGCTATCATTTCGGTGCTCACGAGTCATTTATGTGTATGTACCGTGCGAGGAGCATAACAGTCATTAGAGTGAAAATGTGACATAGTGAAACTTCGAATTAATTTTTAAATTTCAAGCTTCCAATTTACCAATTTATATTGTTGCTATAAGAGTTACTTTTGTTTGAATTATCCGAGTATATGGAATTCGCACTGCTGATCACCGGTGATCACTGGTGATCCCCCATGGCATTCAACGTTTTAATTAAGGAATCCTAATTGAAGAGTACAAATTAACCCTTTGAGGTCTTCTGTCTGCATTCAATCGCCACATCAGGGTGATTTTTGGAATATTTTTTATATTTCAGTTATGCTCTATAGGAATATAAAAAATATTTTAAAGATCTTTTAAACAAATAATTAAGCCCATAATTAGCTAGGTTCAGTGCTGCATAAACATGATAGTTTGTGTTTTTCCATTTAAAATTTTTAGTTAACCATTAATTAATCAAAGGAAAAATTATTTAAATAATTCTAAGGTATTTCACTGGTTATTCTATTTATTATTAATTTTGAAATTGCAATTAATATCTGACAATTTAAATAAAAATAAAGTGACGAATAATTACGTGGTCATCAAGGTGTTAAATCAGCCTTTGTTTCAAAATATCTTAATTGAATTTATTGTAATTAACAACCACCCATTTTGCATTAAGAATATTAATAAATATTTTACCATAAAAATTTCTATGAAATATTAAACTTTACATTGACGTCCCATAAGTACCATTTTGTGGTACTTTTATGTTATCAAGTTATGTCAAATATTTTACGTTTTTCAAGTTAATCATTTGATATGCAACAACCCAAAAAATTCACTGTTACGCGACATGCAAACAGGAAATGGTGATAAATGGCACGTGCACACGAATCGAAATGGCAGTATTTTTGGCAAAGAGCACAACGACACGCACGAAAGGTGATACACACACCCACACATACACATATAGACAAGAATTTTTTGTTCGAAAACGTGCAATTATTTGATCGAATGAGATTAACGCAACGTGATTATACAAACGTTTTATTCGCCTCTCTGTTGACTTATTGTAAGTATGATAATTTATCGTTCGTGCGAGTGGATTACTTTATACGATGTAGAAGACGATTAATGATAACAAAGTGAGTAAAGTGTCGTTGATACAATAGGAACACATAAATGGAATGCTTTTTAAGACTTACAATACTATTATTATTAGAGAGGGTGAAGATTATAGTGGTATAAGTCAATTTTTTAAATATTTTATTTATCAGAAGCCTATTGGGTTAATTGTAACCCAAACTTGCAAAATATATAGGTCAATTCATATATTAACAAAATAACATCTAAAATAATAATTTGAAGCTTATCCTTAGAAAACAGTAATAAATAAAATCTAAAATTAAAATTAAATCGTTGCTATTTTAGAGATCCAACATTCAAGAGTTAATAAATCTTTGGAATTCAAGATTGAAATAATAAAAATTGGTTGTGGTATAATTAGGAAATATTTAAAAAAATAATATGCAGTTCTATTTTAAAAAAAGGGATATTTTTTATGAAATGTAATCGTGATATTTATTAGTTATTCCACTACAATTTTTTATTTTTTAAAATGAATACGAAGATGACTTACCCTATTATAACTTTTACCCTTTCATGTATATTCAGTCGAATCCGTTTGTGTTCGTGCAAAACCTGGATGTAGAATAAAAGTAAAAAAATAATGAATCGATTTCCTTGCGAATGTATTTGATTTCTTTGAAGTAGTTCAGTATCTCGAGGAAGTTTGTATATACGTGAATTTCGATTATTTTATGCTTGGATTTCATTTAAGGTACCAGCTATGTAAATATGGATTGCACGAAGAAGAATAACATCTTGAAATAAGGAAAAATGTCAGATGTCAGTACCGAAGGAAGGTGATATTGTTTGAATTCTAAATATTGAAGTATCTGTTATTTTTATGCAAATTTTATGAAAATAATGAGTTTATTGTTTGAACAGCAATCATTGATATAATAAATAAAACACCAGTGAATATTACAATTCAACTAAAAAGAAGGTTTTTTATTCTTAAAATTATCTATTATTGATTTAGTTTCCTTTTGTATTACATTTGTGATTGTTAATATAATAAAATATACACCACGTATGTTTCTCGTAATAATATTTATGAAATTAACAATCTCAGGAAGTTAACGTGACCTGAGAAGATTTAAAATTGAATAAAATAATCCAATTTAGCATCTCGATTTGAATTACGTGTAAACAAATAATACATTCCAATTTTTAATCTTAATCCTTGGATGGCAGAGCTTGGGTCAATCGTGACCTAGATTTATAAAACGTGTGCAATAGTATATTGATTAAAATTGGATTTTAATTTTCAAACGAAGGTATTCATATATTGAAAAAATAATATTCAAAGCAACAGTTTAATACGTTTATACAGAAATATTTAATATTTTTTAAATAATTTATTTACTTTCTTTGAGCATCTGCGGTTTGCTCGAAGACAAATGGAAACGACTGTTGCATATATTTAGAGACATATATATGCATATGTACTTATACAAGATGAATGTGAGTATTATTACGCGATAATGATTCTGTAAAACGCAACGCAATTAATTTCCCAAACCCCGTTCGTTGTGCGACCTTTTATAACATTAATTTACGTGGATAGCTAGCGTAAAGCCTGTAATTTTCAAGATTCATCGTGTTTCGGTGTGTTACGCTTGAAAACATGGCCTGAGAAAGCAATAAAACGCGGTACAGTGGATTCTTTTCGTTTGAATGCAGTTTTCAAGAATTCTCTGGATTTTGAACACGGAGGTAGATATTTTTCGAATTTTAATAATTTTAAAGATATACTTAGATATTAAATTTAGGTATTATCACATATAACCGATTTCTCAAAGGGAAGAAATATTTAAACAAATATTATAACAATGTTATAAGAAGGCCTAATTGAAAAATGAAGCGTTTTTTTACCCTTAATAATTTTTATTAAAGTCAATGTATTTAGGTAATTTGAAATATTAAGTTAGTTGCATGTGCAATCATTTATTCTATTACTTTCAGTTTCTAGAAATATTTATTATGTGTAATCTTTATTAAATAATTTGTATATAGATGGAAGGCTTTTATCGATTCTGTAAGAATTTTTAAATTTTAGAATATTTTTACAGATTTATTGGAAAGTTAGAACATGAATTAATATTTTATTATGTGACATTAATTAAAGTTTAGCAATTAATAGGTGCTTTAAATGTGTACTTAATATTAAAATCTTTGGATCTGTAGTTGTTTAAACTTGTTAAAAAAATATGTATTAATAATATTAATTCATTCTATAAATGATTATTATTGACTATTTAATTAGAACAAATTTTATCGTTGATTTCAAATATTTAGTATTAGTAATACAACCTGAATTTAAACTTAAGAAAAGAAGTCGTGAAAAAGTGAAGAAATAGATCTGAGGAAATTTGTCAAAAGAAACTTGCGAAAAGGATCCATTGTAGAATTTTTCAACGCTTGGAAACGAGCTAGTTTCTCCCGGAGGAGGAGAGAATCGCGAATAAAAGTTTAGAGGAATTAACTTTCGTAATACGTTTTTAGACAAAGACGAATATCTTACTACTGTTTTATAACATTTAGAGAAATTCTAGTATTGTACGAGATGAAAAATGTATACAGGAATAATGCCTGATCACACGCGATAGAGTCATTTGCTGTTGAGGGATAGTTGACGTTTTCTGTTTATTTCGAAACAGATTGTTTTCCCGCAGTACACTGTACGTTTATATTTCCGCTAAATAAATTATTATTTTCTGTGCTATAAAGTGTCTCGCGTTTCATTCGAACACCTGTCGTTTGATTTAAAAAATGTAGATATAGATATCTCCTTTTTCGAAGAATTGAATATTTTTCCCCACTATATTAATGAATAATTTAATTACAAATTCCTATGATTGCAGTACCTTGAAATATGTTTATTATATTGCATTGGAATTACCTGTATTCTAAGTATAATTGAAACAGATATTCCTTTACAAATTGAAATATGTTTATTATATTGCATTGGAATTACCTGTATTCAAAGTATAATTGAAACAGAAATTTCTTTATAAATTGAATTGAAATGAAATAAAATTTAAAGTTAGAAATAAAGTAAATGTTAATTAGAAATTTAAACAGAGGAATTTTTAATAAATAAAATGAAATTCTGTTGAGAATTGAATAGAAATGATTGCAATTGTACTTCTGCTGCATTGTTTATGAAGTATAATAAAATTATAATAATTGTATATGATTTTGCAATTTGTACGTTTACGATGCAACAGAGGCATAGAGTTATCTGATTCCAGTAACATAAAATATGTATTTCTCGTTAGATTTAGACAAGTTAACAAACAGTTTTCGTTTGCAAAAATTCACGAGACCTTCTTTCAGCTGTTGTTTTCTTCAGAGGCGCGCTTTCTTGTTGCACAATCGCTGGAGATGAGTAACGTAGTGATTTATATAAGAGGTGGCAATTTTTGGCAATTACGTGTTCTTACGTTGACTCAGATTTTGCATAAATGTTGCGTAAATGGAGCGTCTATTAACAGTCCTTCCTATCGATTAATGACAGCTCACGCGTATAATTCTCCCTAAATTTAGGTGGCAAGTTGGGTCGTTTGATTCCGACGACACGATCTAATTAACTTCGTCATCGCTGAATTGAATTATTTCAAACGTTGCCTTCAAATTATCATCGTATCGAATAGTCACGAACAAGTATCAATTGCACTCTATGATTTTAAATTATGTAATTTTTCATAACATTGCGTCCATTAATTATGTAATCCCGTATGGAACATAGAGCTTTTTTATTATTTATTAGAATAGTATTACTATTATTATTATTTATTTATTTATTTATAATGGTTGCATGAACAGCAAGGTCATTAGCGACCACGATGTATAGTTGTCATTGTTACCTAACGATTTGTCTAAATTATTGCTGCAACCTCATTAGTGCAGCACCATAATTAGTATAAGATGTATATCTCACTCTAATTGCAATGGCTATACCAAACTGGAGTCTTCCCATTTTACACTTAATTTTGAAATTTTTTGAAAATTATTTATTTTAAATTTATACTATTTTGAATTTTTTATTTGAAAGGATAAAAATTTGCTCAGATTTGCCGGTTTACCTCTACAGATAAGTGAAGTGCATAGATGCACTTGCATCGTACCCTCTGATCAAAAGTAAACAAATTTTCCATAGACTATTGATCCAAAGGGACTACGCTTTATCTTAGGCAAACAATGTCGTGTAGCTCTAATGCAGGAGCACCTGAAGAGGTCTTCATCTCCTAGTCAAATTTCGCGTTATGTATGTATATACAGTTGGAAACTTCTAAAGAAACTTTCGATGGAACTTTGCATCAAGCTTTCAGCCACTCGAGTAGAATTCTTGTTGTTAACTATGTTAATGCTTCAAATGGCATAGAGATCAAGGATTTCAGAAGAAAATCACGAAATTTCTGTGAAGTTGCCAGAAACAAGTCCAATGAAGATTATTTCAAATTATGATTCGTAATATTGAGCTATGATTTAACAAAATATCTTTCACAGAAACTTTTATTATTTAAAGGCACATAATTGTATCAAATATTTTGTTAAATACTACCCTTCATTAGTGAGAAACAATCTATATACATATATTACACAATTATTAAACAAATTATTACATATCAGCTATTACTTTTCTTCCATAAGTAAATCATTAAAAAATCATCAGATTTTGGTAATTACCTTCAAAAATTATATGCCAATTTTGTCATTTAAAAAAATTGTTAAAATTTCTGAAATCTTCCAAAAGTATCATTAACTTCTGCCACTTATTATTTCTAACGACTCCAAATTAAGATTCCATTATGTTTCTCGAAACACAGGTCGAAGAGGAGATGGTGTAGGATCGAACTGGCGTGCATACCTGTAGGATGGCAGCATGTGGGATCATGGTAGCAAATGATATTCGTGACACATCCCACGTGCCGGAATTCCTGTATCCTAGCCATCGGATCCCGCGGGATTTATTTTAAGATCGGTATGACGCCACCGTGGGTTTACAGTGAGGCCGGTGCCGCCACGCAGCCGCGTCGAGTCGCGTCGCGTCGCGTCGCGGCGCGGTCTCAGTGAATCCGTGGCTGGCTCGTATGCGAGTCACGCGATCGACGATGGTGCACGCCGATAGCGATCGATCGATCGATCAGACGGTTCGTACGCGGAAAGAGTCGCGATCCGTGTTTACGTAACCGGATTCCAGAGGTGAGTTCGATCGCCGATTCGATCGATCTTTCGATTCCTTCTCGCTGTTTCTGCTCTTTCGTCACGTTCATCTGAATATGGTTGGCTGTTCGTCAACGATCGATCAGTTGCTCGCTTCAATCATTGATACGATAGAAATATGGAAATTGAATGATTTCATAATAGCTACGGTTTTATTGGAAATGTTTAGGTGAAAATGTTTTTAGGTGTGGAAGGTGGTCGTTGAACAAAAATTTAAAATAAATCATTTTCAGGAAGATGCACAGGTAGCATTAATTCAAAATCTAAGATTGTTGATTTGTGGCACCTTAAATCAGATTTCTATAAAATATAACTCTTTCAAATTTAAGAGTATAATTATTCTTAGAAAACTAAAAATCTCGCCTGGATTGTCTATATTAATAATGAATATATTAAACAAAATATATTATTCTAAACACTGAATTTTCATCGTAGAATCTTGAGTTCAACGAAACCAGGTCAACGAAATTTAGGTCACAATATCATTTATTATATCAGTTCCTCTTAATCTAATTCAATATCCTTATTCCACATAAAAATGAAGAACTATCAAAATTTTGTACATTTCTTCTATTTCATCCACTGATACAATAAAGTATATTGAATAGACATGTTCATTTCTCAGTTTTTCGTTTCATCCGGCCAACTGACTATATCTTCGAAGATATTTTGAGATCTGTGGGTATAGTTGCTGGCGGGACGTCGATGCCGGAAACCAGGACACCTTTCAGCTTACAATTAGTGTTTCGTGATCGAATTCGTCGAAGGGTGCCTCTTGGAATTGTACCTTAAACCCATCTTTCCTTTCGTTTATTGATCTTGTTCGAGATCAGGCTTACGTTGTTCCTTTCGTAATTCCGATGAATTGGAAACGAAGCTTGTTTCCTGGAACGAGTGCACTGTGCTTTGTTATGGGGGTAGATATCTACCATCGAACATCTTCAGAAATTTATTCCAAAAGAACCATTCGATCAATTCATCGGGGTCTTTTTTCATTAAAAAGAGGATATTTTGTAGATTATTTATAAAAATTATCGAGGTTGTATATAACCAAGTGTAGCTGATAAATTAATTTCTATTCAGGGGTTGCAAGGTAAAGTAATCACATTGCTTGTATGGTTTAGATTTTTATAGTGATCTGATTTGAAAATGGATGCAATTTTAATTACATAAAGACTGATTTTTCAATTCTGTAATATGACCCTGGAGGTAGATGTAACGTTGAACTTTCAATAGAAAGAGAAATTATGCTGTTGAATCTTTCTTGAACTGGAATTGGACGGAACTAGTTTCTACTGGAAAAATTTCAATATCCTAGTCGATTTTCCGCTAGATTATTTATAACCAGTGGATGTAAACACACGTACTTTGGCTTTCGTGCAAACCAGCCGTCATTTCTCGCCAGTACGGATTCGAAACCGGCGGTGAACGTTACCAGCGTTACGATCTTGCCAGACGTTTATTTCAAAGTTGTGTTACGTGTTAACCAATCGTGATTTCATACCTGTTTTTTAATCATTCTGCGAGTGAGAAAGAAAAAAAAATGGATAAAATGGATACTTCCATTGGTGTCTGTTAGATTCGTTTTAAAGTTTCTGTACTTGGAGATTTTAATTAACATTTTCTAAAATTCCTTTAATTTTTATTTCATTTAGTCTATATTAAAAACTATGTGAAAAATAAAATTATAAGATTCACAGAAACCTGATAGTTAAAATTATAAAAATAAAAGAATTATAGAAATAAAAAGAAGAGATGGTGAGAATATTGAAAAAGCCCTTGAATTTCAGAATATCTTACCTTGAAGAATAATTATCCTCGGGATAGAATATTTACAAATAGAAAGAAGTTAGGACTAAATACAGCTGTTTACATTTTCACTCACGTTGCAGGAGCTCGCGTGAATTCATTACTTACCCATAGCAGAACAAGCTGTTTCTCGAAAGGAAAAGAAACGTTCCTCAATATTCATTAGACTCGTTCCTCTTTCGACGGAAAGGGAAAAACTCTCGCGTTAGTTCGTGAATAATAAACGTAAACAGAGGGAAGAAGGATCGATGGAAGTGTACGAAGAGCATTTCGGAAGCGTCTCAAAGTCAAACTCCGTCGATTTTGACAAGTTGCCAAGCGTTTGAAACCGGGTTGCATAATGTTCTTCGTCGAAAAATCATTTTCCATCTTACGGCTGTCGATGGCTGTTCGAAAATAAGCAACAAACGAAAGCAGAACAGCGCGAACGAGAGACAATGATCGATCCCGCGATCCCTAATGCGTCGACCGATCGATTTAACGAGACCGAAAGGTAAAGCGAACGTTGAATTTCGTGTGGTCATCGCCGCAAAAATATTTGCCCTCTGTTTGAAAATATTTTATCAGCCCGCGCAAATGTTTGACTTTCGATGATGGATACGGTGTAACGAGATTTCGCACAGCTAAGTGAAACAGTGTTGCTAACCGTGTGTTTCATAGCTGTTGGACGGCGTGCAACGAAGTTTGTTAACGTCTTTGTTCCGTTGCGAAATCATTTCACGGAAGCAAACGAATATTTGTGTGCCACGTTGACACTTTGATACTACCTTTGGAGTCGAGCATTTAACTCGATTTTCCGATTGAAGGAAACTCCTCACTGATGATATTTCAATATTTACTCAAATTCGAAAATGTTGTCTTCATCTTATACCAAATCGCAAGAACGCATCTGAAGTTCAAGAGTGATTTATAACAAGATTTCAGAGAAATCGAAGAAATGGTGATACTTCGATATTGATGTCTCTCTTGGAATTATAGATACGATTTTCAAGCTTGAAATACTTTTATAGTAAAAAATTATTCTTCAATTTTTGCAGAAACGAAGAAAAATGTACCCGTTTCAAATTCAGCAGAGATTCATAAAATAACCCAAACGATTTGTGCCAAATCGCAAAGCTCATTATATTGATGATTCTTCGTTTTATTATCTCCGAACGCAAGGATATCGTGCGAAGAACCCAGAGCGATTCTGTGAAATCGTTAAGGAACCCTCGAAAGTTGAGGCGATCGAAGCCCGCGGTAAGAAACCGGAAACATGAAGAACGCTCACCCGATTATAAGAGCCGCGTCGTCGAGTCTGGTCAATCCGGATTCCTCGTCGTCGAGCGAACTTGCGGAACCGATTATCAGATTGAAGGTGGACAAACCGCTGCACTGGGAGTGGGAGCTGACCACGTCCGCAGACACGCTTCCTGTCATCCAGCTATTGGACAAAGATGGTCGCCTGTTGGTGGAGACGACTGGAAGAACAGCGCAGAGAGCCAGAGGATCTTTTCGAGAAGGTCTCAGGTCTCACGAGGAGTTTCCGACGAGCGAGAAGACCGTTTCTTCGTCGTTTTCGTCGTCGTCCACTCCTAGCACGATTATACTACCAGCACGAGGAAATAGGAACGTCGATGGGTTCAGCACGAAATTTGGAAGCTGCGACTTCGGTTACAAGCCGAGAAAATCGAGAAGCGAAGTGACGATTAAAGAAAGAGAGAAAAAGGGGAAGAAGAGACACTCGGTTAATTTCGAAAGGAAAGAAAACGAGGAAACGAAAGCGAACCCGAAGAGGTACTCCTTGGGTGATTATCTGCGACAGCAGATCATCGATGACCTTCGAACGAAGAGTACCTTCGAAAAGAGTCCGGAGGAGCTCGCGAAGGAGAGATGCAAGAAGGTGAAGGCATACTTCAGGAGTCAGAGCGAGACTCTGCCCAGACTCGTCCACGTTGAAGAGGAGACCAGCGACGAGCCGAAATCAAGGATCGACGAAGAGGAAGTGCGAAGCAAGAGGATCGAGGAGGGTCTGAATCGTCTTCGAGCGGCGATTAAACAAGAACCATCGGATGGAGATACGGGTAATATAAGAAGTACTATCAAGAAGGAGGAACTGGAGAAGGTGAAAGCGTTTCTGCAGAGGAAGATCCAGCAGAAGATGGATCAGGAACGATCCCGAAGCTCGAGCAGATGCGACATGCAGACAGGTGGAATTAAAAAGAGGTACTCGGATTACGCGCCGGCCGAGGACCCCAGAGGTTATCGCACCCGAAAGGTGCGCAGCGAGACGAGCGTCTTCAAGTTCGAGCCGGAAATTCTTCCGAAGGACAGGCAGAAAGGGAGGAGGGACAGATCGAAGACCAACTGGTCACCTATCGAGGACTCCTTCCGACAGAGGTCTCTTCGTCGCTCCGGAGGCAGGAATCCTGAAACGTTCGAATTGAGCGATCGACAGAGATCCCAAACTCGGGAATCCAACGGTTTCGAGAAACGGAAGTTGTACCGAAAGACGAAGAGCGACGTGCTGCTGGGTCGGATGGGAGCGAGCTTCGACTCGGAACAGGAGAATCCTCCGAGGCGCATCAGGAGTCAGGACAACGTTGACCTCTCCTGGCGGGAATACAAAGAAAGGAAAAAACATGAGAAGCTGCAGCACGAATTAGATAAAGATGTGAAGGAGGAAGACTTCATGAGTAAACCGAGGTGGAAGGATCTCCAGCCGGGTTGGTGCAACTTCAAGAACTGCAAGGTCTGTCAGAACTTGCGGAATTGCGTGAATCCTTTCGATCGACGCGACAGCCGACGAATCCCCGAGGACCCGCCGCTGAAGGATTCTTCCGACGTGATTTCCGATTGCTCGAGACCGAGTACTAGCCTACAGGAAAATTACTTGGTCGTTGATAAACTGTCCGATACCTCGAGGAATCCTCTGGCGACGAGTGAAGGGAACGGTGCGTCTAATTTGAACTCTCCCGATTGCGGTTACAATACCATTCCCAGGAACGCGTTTAAGGATTACAAGGACCTGTACGCTCGATCGAACGTAAAGAAGAGCGACACGTTTAAGATCGTGGACGGCAGCGAGGAACCTGAAGAGACGGGGCGTCCGGACGATTCTAAAGTAGACGAATCGGTTGACGGTTTCGATTGCTCGAAAGGAGAAGGCGTGCTGACGAACAAGTCGAACGAGGACATTGCCAGGGATTATTTCAATAGGGTGTATGAATTGCTGAAGAAGAGGCAAGAGGAAGCCAGGAGGATCGCTGAGAGGCAAGAAGCTCCCGGTTGCGACGATTCGTCGTCTTCTAATTACGCGGAGAAAGTGCAGAGGAGGAAGCTTCGACGCAGGAAAAAGGAGCGCGGTGTGCAAGGTAAGGATTGAATTGCTTTTGTTCTTTGTCTGTTTGCATGGAATGCGAGATTGTATTATGCGAAGAGGAAGAAGTTTTAATTGAGTTTGATCGGGGGCAACGTAGCTCGATGATACTGATGAAATAGTTATGAAGAGAAAATTGTCTGGCTTAATCGTTTTTCCGCTTTGAATAAATTTTCCTTTTGACAATTGTTACAGTCAAAATTGCGGGGTAATTAGGTTGACGGACGGATATAATTGCAGGGTAATTAAGAGACGAGTGGTAAAAGATAAAACATAGATACTGGTATACTTGAGATACACAAAAGTTGGTTAATGAGACAGTTTCTAGGTGCGTGGAAATAATTAATCGATGCCGTGACTTGCTATTTTGGTTAAATTAAGATAAGATTTCATGTCCGTTCTCGTTTTAATTCTAACACGCTCGCGCCTGTTAGAGTCCTAGTGACCTAAATTAGTAATTAGTTATAATCAGTTACGATACTTGGAACGAGTTACATTTTTTCAATTTTTAAAATAATATATTCTTAAAAAACATGAAATTTAAAAAAAATATTCAATATTATAAATTGATTGTTAGTTAATATTTTAAAGTAAAATTTATCATATTTACAGTAGTTTCACATTATATAATTTTCATTCAGTGATCAAAAAGAATTGAATTAGAGAAAGTTAAAGTGATAAAAAGGAAAATACTACTTTTTTATTTAAAATTGACCTAATTTCATTCAAACAGAAAATAGTCGAATATTTCCAGAGTGGCTTAGAAAAGAACATAAATCAATTTGCCTGAGAAGAATAAAATCATAGGAAAAGACATTTTGACGAGTAAACTCTTTAATTACCAGGGAATTTCAAGGATTTCGGTTCTCGACAACGAACAGCGTGGGGAATTATCCTTCAAGCAGGTGGTCCACGTAAACGGACGTCTTTCGCTAATGCGAAAACTTTTGCTTTAAAAGCTCGCTCGCTTTTCACCGCGATCCGTCGTATTTACCCGAGACTGACTCTCGATGGCATTCGAGAAATATTCAACGTCCCGTTATGACGAAACTTTTGCATTATATCAAAGAACGTTCGTTAATATTGTTCCGCGAACAATGTTAGTGCTCGCCGTTTGTATCCGACTCGTGGTCGATAAAACGAAAAGGAATAAAAAAATATGATTTGAATAAACGACGCGTCTATCAATGCGTGTTGTATTCGTTTCTGTTTGAAAAATCTTTTGAATTCCATTTATAAATCATTGGGTTAAATAGATAAGGGGTGGGGTGGGTCTGGTTTCCTTAGAAAAAAATTACAAGATAATTTTATTAAAAAAATTTGGACACCATCATAACAGAATTACTTTTAAAAATTCTTTTGCAAAAGCAGAAGTCGTAATGATGTCATTCTGCACCTGAAAAGAGCTGGTATCATAGTAAAAACCATAAAAGTATTAAAAAATTAGAAATTGCATTTAAGTGCACAAGATAATCGACAGATTGTTTTTATTCAGTATTTATTTATAGATTGTATTAAACGAAAATTGAGCCGAAATTGAAATGATAATTTAGCCATTGCTATTGAAAACTTGATCACGTTTACGTAGGTGGTTAGATATAGCTGACGTTCAATTCTCATTGGAAATTGGATTACTCGTCTCTTTGAAGCTTTTAGTGATTTCTCTGCTGGAGTATTTCGACGGAATGTCCAACGAAATAAAGGTCGGATTAAAGTGGCTTTTAAACGCTTCCTGACATTTCAGCATGTCCCCGATATTGTCCCAAATAGATTTGCAAGGAACAATAAACCGTCTAATAAGTTACTAATATGTGACTCTTCACTTAACGAGGTATTCTAATACAGACACTTGTTTTCAATATTATTTTTGGGAACTTAATTAATGAAAATGACTAAATCTAATAATATTTTGGTAATTGCATGTATTGTATACAAAATGGGAAGAGAAAAAGAAAAATATTTTAAAAGTAAATACTAATTACTTATACAAAAATAATAATTGTCAAATAAATCCCTTAGCTGGGCATCGAAATTGTGTATACATAAGTATAAATGAATTCTCTTGGGTCGATTGAAATAAACTCAGGGTATAATTTCAAACAATGCCTTTCTCAACTGCAGATAGGTGTATAAAACAAAACTGCAGCGCCTGCAGTATTCTACTTTGTTGAATAACAGTTCGTGAGCACGAAATGCAATAGTGATAAAGGCTGCCACGTAGGGAACTATTACATCGTGATAAATGAACATTACTCTTCGTAGTAACTGAACGTTAATCTAGTAAATGTTTCTGCGGAATTAATATCCTTTTTTGTGAAAAACTTTCATTTCACCGATCGTATTTTCATGTTTGCTTCAAAAAAAACTGTCATACGTAAATGCATACTGCAAATGAATTAAACGTTCGTTTTTATTTAAATTTCTTAATACTTTTAAGATAAAGTAGTTATAGGAATAATTAGATTAGTATTTTGTAGAAAATAAAATTTTGACATATCTATTCTTAGAAATCTTAGAATATTAAGATATTAGGATATTAGAATATTAAAATAATTGAATTTTAGAATGTTAGAACATTAGGACATTAGGATATTAAAACATTACAGTGCTAGATATTAAGGTAATAAGATATTTGAATAGACAGATTTTGGATCCTTAATATTATATTGAAACATGCTTGGAACTTGTCAAGTGATGCAGTCGTAAATGTAACTCAATGTCATTTACAGCAAACTGTTCCCAACTTGACTAAGTCAAACAGACACTTTATTAGAACAACGAAACCGATGTCGAACTTGCACCCCATCTTCCAGCTCAAATATTGCATTGTGTAATGTGTATACATGTTATTAGCACACCGCTGACATTATGCTGTTAGTAACACCATCAATCATGTAATACGCTTTCCTCAGCTTACATGTATGAGGAATTACCTAGCAGCATATACGTAAAGTACTTACGAGCTTAGAGGTTCCATTCTCTTAACGCACACGTTAAGCGTCCTACCCTTGTGTCAATCACTGTCCTTTGGCAAAGTTCCTTTTGCCAAAATACGATTTCCAAAAGCTTTCAGACACTTTCAAAGTGGACTGGATATAATCTGGGAAGTTTTATCCTGTTTTCAAGGATCGAGGATGCTCTCATTGACGTAACTAGGATTTTTACTTGGGTCGATCAGGTCCACAGAATTTTAAAATATTAGAATATTAGGATGTCAGGTTATTAGAATATTAGGATACTAATATATTAAAATATTAGAATATTAGGATATTAGAATATTAAAATAATTGAATTTTAGAATGTTAGAATATTAGAATATTAGAATATTAAAATCTTAGGATATTAGGGTAATAAGATATTTGAATATTAAAATATTAGAATCTTATAATTTTTGAATTTTTCAATTTCAAACATGTGGAGGAACTAGTTCACATTTTGTCGGAATGCCAAGCCCACCCTTGTCCCTTCTTTTTTACACATCTCCAGATTATCGATATTCAATAACAGAGACATTTGAATGTTCCCATTCAAACGATCTATCCTCTAGATTACAAGCAACTTACATGATACCTGCGCACAACTTCCGAACTATTATAGTTTCGAAACTATCGACAAGTGTGAAACGAAGTGTTCAAGCGTAAAATGGATATTATAAGTACACCATTCAGTTAACGCGTATGCATTTCAGCAACCGCTTTTACGTGTATTTCTGTTCAAGCTGTTGGCATTAACTCGAAAGTGTTTAACAGTTCTTGTCGCATAACTATCGGTTTTGATCTCAATGCCGGTGAGCAGACGTTTGCATATAGACGGAAACGTCTACTTGTTGCTAGACGCGATGCGATACACCATTTCATGTTGGCAGGGAAACAATTGGCGAGTGCCATTCTGTCAGCTGTAAATCGAGTTTCGTTTAAACATCATCCATGATATTTACAACGCCAGGAATTCGAACGATCATTCTCGACATTCTTTCATAATCGATATGGAGTGGAATTATGCATTTTTCTTCGAATACATTAATTTCGTTTTAATATTGAGAATTTTGGAGATAATAGGGACATAGTGACACCCATAGGGGTAACTGTAACCCGTATGAGGCTAACTGGAATCTGTAACAGGTTAGACTAATATTGGGTCACTTTTGCCCCGTAGCACAATTTTCATTATACAAATTTAAAATCTATTTTTCCAAAACAAAATATTGTTTAATAATGCTCATAGTAGAGAATGGAAAAAATATATAAAATTTAAATATTTTGTAAATATAAAAATTCCAAATTTATTGCAAATTGTAAAAATATAATTTATACAGAAATTTTCTTGAAAATTTTAATTTTCCAATTACATGAATAAAATAGACGGTTTCCTAGATATACATACATACCACTTTACCTTGCATTGAACAAATATAATCTATAGCCTGACTGCAGCATAGAATCTGAATTCTTAGACCACACATACACTGCTCCGCGAAGGTTCTAATCATTTTCAGTAAATTACTGCTATCCAAGCTAGTTTCTGCAGTCGTATATCAAAGCCTCTCTTCCATACGATAAGAAGGGCTTAACGAGAGCCTCCTCTAAGCTGCTCCCTTTAATCAAAATGCATCGTATCTGCGTGTACGTAGGGTGCACACAATATGTGTGTTTAATACACGCATGTAAACGTGGGTACAAAGTGGTTGGTCGAAAGAGGCAGAGATATGGAAACAAGAAATAACGTTCGACATCAAAATATGCGTTGAAATGTAACCGGTTGACAGTAGAAATAATTACGTATTAAAAATTAATTTTAATAATATACAATAAAAAAGGTTCTTTCTAATAAAAAAAAAATTGTACTTTAGGAACTATGGTATGTTCTTACGAAATCTTGATCGAACCTTGAATGTATTTTCTGTTAGAATAAATTTCCACAAAAGGAAAGGTAGCTTTTTATCCTATCTAAGTGAGGTCACGTAGTTCCCTTGAATTTAGGGTTCATGTAATCTTA